CTTCTCAGATGTAGTGCTTGTGATGGTATTTGATCTTGCTGCATTCTAACGAGATGGCCATACCACTTGATCTGCTGTTTCTGGATGAATCTACTACAAGGTGTCGCTCCCACAGTTTGCCTGAGTTTCATTATTCACTCGATCTCGGATGGTTAGGTTGGCTGCTTTTCTCAGGCACCTCATCTCGCAGGTGGTAATTTTGCGTATATGGGCTTTAGATAGTGTCCATGTTTGGCACTGGTAGCTTAATTTTGGAATGAATATGCTATTAATAATCAGTCTCTTTGCACTGATAGTTGTGCTTGGATGTCTTAATAATGGCGACAATTGGTATATAAGTGAACTTGCTTTCTTACATCTGGTTTCTTTTTCTCTGTCAATTCTACCATCTTCTGTGATCATACTTCCTAGATATTTAAACTCCCTAACTTGATTCAGGGCAGAACCATTCAGCTGTGTGTGTAGTGGGGCAGGGGTTCTACTAACTTGCATTGCTTCGGTTTTGTTTACATTGATCTTCATGTTGTATTTACTACATGCTGAGTTTAACTTGTTAATGTGGTTCTTGCAGTCTATGTTCTTCAGGGTAGAACAAGCACTGGTCGTCAGACCACAGTTTGTTTGTTTCCACTCTACCAAAAGCTTTTTCCTGATCTATAAATACAATATTCTGTTTGGTATTATTCTCAATGGCTTTCTCACACACTTGCCTCAGAGTGAATAATGCATCTGTGCATCCTCTGCTTTTTCTGAAACCGAACTGTGATGCACTCAGCTGCTGTTCAGCTATGTGTCTAACTCTCTGTTCTAGTAATTTGGCGTACATTTTTTCTAAGTGACTCAGTAGTGATATACCTCTGTATGCTTCACATTCTCAACTATTACCTTTCTTTTTCCATATCGGTACTATTAATGCCTGTTGCCACTCAGCTGGGACCTTTCTTTCTTCTTAAGCTATATTAAAAATTCTAGTAAGCCATTTAACACCCACTTCTCCGCATGCTTGGATCCCTTCTGTATTCATTCCATCCAGACCCAGTGCTTTGTTTCTGGGGCTGTTCTGTATAACTGCTCTTACTCCCTCTGATATGAAATTTGGTTGCTCTTGTTTGCAGCTTTGAGGTACAAAGTTAAAATTATCTACGTTGCCTGTGAGGTTGAGAAGTTCTTGAAAATACTCAGCCCATCTTGCCAACCTCTGTTGTGGACTAAATAGAGGTATGCCTTTCTTGTTGTTGATGATAGTTGTTGGGTTGTAGCTCATGTCTCTTTCTCTCATGATTTTTACATGTTCATAGAATTCTCTAGGGGAGTTCTTGCTGAGGGTAGCCATCTGTTGACCATAATTTCTCCAAGACTCGTCTTTAGATGTTTTAATTTTGCGTTTTTCTCATCTTCTTACTAATCTGTAATGTACATAATCTTGATGTGATTTTGTTTTTATCCATTTTTATATGCCTCCTTCTTTCTGGATACGCTGTCTTTAACTTCGTTGTTCCACTAAATAGTTCAAAAACGTTTTACACCACCTACCCTTCTGACTCCGCATTTGGTTTGAAGTAATTGTTAACCAAAAAGACACTCAGTTTGTAGACTTGATTGAACAGCTGATTCACCTAGGTTCTTTAGTAGAACAATCTTTAATGCAGCGGATTCCAGGTCACTGTGGCTTGGAAAGCAATGAAATAACGGACAGGTTGGCTAGAAGCGGCAGTGACATGGTACAACTAAATAGTGACTTTACCCACTAAGAGACAAAGACATAAATATTATATAGTATTCAAGAAACGTGGCTGGACACACACATCAAATCCACTCCTCAAAATTCGCTTCTTGTTAGTGCTGACCTGATAAGGAAAACTTACAGGGGATGTGGGAGGGGAGGGTTAAGAAACTGAAAAGTGGTTCTTTTTATCATAAATTTCTCTTATCAATTTAAGAGTTCAATCAAGAAACAATACTGATGATTAACACATTGTTTTTCACCCCAGACGTTTGCCACATCCGAGAACGCCTTAGGCAGCATGAACTGTTGTTATTCACTAAGTGTTAGTGTTATCATATATTGGGAACTCGTCTTCTTCCTACCTTTATCCTCCTCCCTTTTTTTCTTCTTCTTCTTTTTCTTCTTCTTCTTCATCTTTTTTTTTTCTTCTTCTATTTCTTCTTCTTCTTCTTCATCTTTTTCTTTTTTTTCTTTTTTTCTTCTTCTATTTCTTCTTCTCCTCCTTCTTCTTCTTTTTCTTCTTCTTCTTTCTTTTCTTTTTTTTCTTCCTCCTCTTCTTCTTCTTCTTCTTCTTCTTCTTCTTTTTCTTTCCTTCTTTAATTTTCTTGTTTTTGTTCTTGTTCATGTTGTTGTTCTTCTTCTCCTTCTTCTTCTTCATGATCATCTTCTTTTTCTTCTTCTTCTTCATCTTCTTCTTCTTTTTGTTTGTCCTCTTTTTCTCCTCCTCCTCCTTTTTCTACGTCTTCTCCCCTCCCCCCCCCCCCACCCAACTCTTCGTCATAAACCTTTATATGTCAACCTCACTGCAGAAAATTACAATCAGTTTGAGCTTGCTGATTTATACCTTCCCAGCGTTCAACCTCACAAGATATTTTTACACGCTATAATGTTTCGCTTACACGAATTCTAATAGATAGGATTAGGAAGCTATGACAGCAGGTTCGGTAGGTAAGCTGGCTAGCAACTGAGGTACCACTGTTTCCATTAAAAAAAACTTGCTGACATTTCATCCGTGTGTTTTTGTTGTTTGTTTGAAATTTATTCATGTCTATAGCAGATTTACCCCGGCTTATCTCGGGATTACCTGAAATAATGATTTATTGTTGCGCATGGTCGACTTAAAATCTACCTAACGGAGTTACATAAGCCTCTATCGGTCATAAGCATACACGCCACTGAATCAATGTTTAAAGAGATGGTTTTAAAGCATTAGCCTTAGATTGAAATAATATGCCTTGTCCATCAAGATGATGATGCCCACTCTTTTTCATCAAGTATGAGTAAAATGATGACTGATGAGGCCGATGCGGGCCCGAAAAGTTCTTGGACAGTGAGTACAGGGAATGAGTTGTGTGCCAGGGAGGGGATCTCCTGCAGTCGCCTTTCTGTCCACTCTTTTCTTAATCAGTCTTGCTGTTCTGTTTGCTTCACATGTAGCCGCGTCCTTGTGTAGAGCTGCACGCCACGCATTTCTGTCTTGAGAGGCAGCCTTCCAGTTGGTGTCATTCATCCCAAATTCTATGAATGATGACTTTAAGGTGTCTTTAAAGCGTATCCTTTGCCCGCCCTGGGAATGTTTTCCATTTTGCAGCTCACCATAGAAAAGTTTTTTTTTTTTGGTGGGTGTGGGGGAGGGGGTGGCTATGATCTGGGATGCGTGCCACATGACCAACCCAACAAATTTGTTACTGCATCAGTAGAGTGTGGATGCTGGGCATGGCTGCTTTCTCAAGAACCATGGTCTCAGGTACTTTCTCTTGCCATCTGATCTGCATTAGTTTTCTAAGGCAGACTGTGAAAGTGGTTTAACTTTCTAGCCTGGCGCTGGTATACAGTCCATGTTTCACATGCTATCAGCAGTGTAGTTAATACAACTGCTCTGTATACTATAAGTTTTGTCTGCAGGGTTATGCCACTTCTGTTCCAAACATTTGTGTACAATCTGCCAAAGGCAACGCTAGCCCTTGAGATCCTTGCATTTACTTCGTCATCAATTGTGGCGCTCTGTGAAAAGGTGATGTCTAGATAAGTAAATTTCCTGACATTTTATCTTTGGCCATTTACTGTGATATTGGGCTCCATGTATCTTTTCCCTGGGACTGGTTGGTGCATGACTAGTTTTATCTTTGTTGATGGTGAGCCCAAAGTTTGTACAGGCCTCACTCAATTTGTCGACATTGGGCTGCATATCCGCTTCTGTGTTGGCATAGAGGGCACAATTGTCGGCAAACAGGTACTCCCTGATGGTGTCTGATTTAGTTTTTCTTTTTGCTTTCAGCCTCCTTAGGTTGAAAAGCTTTCCATCCATGCAGGAATTTAAATAATAAATAAATAAATTAAAATAATAATACTGTAGGATAATGCGAATTCATATATCAGTCTGGATCACCATCATTATCAATTTCCATTTCTACCGTTAAGCGGCGTGGGGAGAAACAATTTGCGATCCATTGTGTGATGGACAGTAATAGCTACTGTCGTTCGGGGTCTATGTAGTAGCTCTTTAATGTCATATATCCATATTTTCCTAGGGTTGCCTCTTGCTTTCACTTCATTTAGATCTTTCATGAATAGCGCCTGTAATGGTAGTTCTGCCTGCATTCTTACTAGATGATCAAACCATTCGATCTTTCGTTTTTCAATGCATTTTCTGTATGGTGTTGTTAACACAGTCTGACTGATGATATCATTTCTAACTTTGTCTCGGGTGGTTAAGCTGGCGGCTTTTCTCAGGCATCTTATTTCGCATGTGTTAATTTTACTTGTTAGCCTTTGATAATGCCCAAGTCTGGCACTGGTAATTGTTATAAACATGGTGTTTATAATCTGTTTCTTGGCGCTCATACTTACGTTTGCATGTTTCAATAACGGTGTTAATCGGTATATAAGTGCAAAGGCTTGTTGACATATTTATAATCTGTTTCTTGGCGCTCATACTTAAGTTTGCTTTTAATAACGGTGTTAATTGGTTTATAAGTGCACCGGCTTGTTGGCATCTTGTTTTTATTTCCAGATCTATTCTCCCGTCATCCGAGGATATATTTCCTAATTATTTTAATTCTTTAACTGCCCGGCTCTCTAGCGAAGTTGCTTAAACCTGACTTTCGCGGCGGCCGGGTGACGAACTCCTTGTGGTCCGGTTTCACTCCCGGGGGTAGGCAGAAAAGCCACATTTCTCCCACATTAACGGTACCTATAATGGAATCAAGGCCGAAGGGTTGCGATATCCATAGTACCGAGCCAAAGGGTTTACAACTCATGGTTTCTGGATACGTTAAAAATTCTTAACTGGCTTCAAACAAGAACCATTCAACCCAACCATGTAGCACACAAGGAATTCTACTAGAAAATGTATCTTTACTATATATATATATATATATATATATATATATATATATATATATATATATATATATATATATATATATATATATTTATTTTTTTTATTTTTTTTAATCGCACCTTTCCATCTTTCCAGACAAAAATGGGACTCACAGCCCATGGCGATGGTGAGTGTGACTAGCAAGACCAAGAAAAGTCTTCTACAGTTATAGCATAGGATTTCAAGACCATTGTTGTCAACATTTGTGTTTGGTGTGTTTCTTCTCAGACACTCAGCTCTCATCCTTTCTGTGGTCTTTTCTTCCTCCATCCTCTTCCTGATGTCCTTCATTCTCTTCCTGATGTCCTCCATTCTCTTCCTGATGTCCTCCATTCTCTTCCTGATGTCCTTCATTCTCTTCCTGATGTCCTCCATTCTCTTCCTGATGTCCTCCATTCTCTTCCTGATGTCCTTCATTCTCTTCCTGATGTCCTTCATTCTCTTCCTGATGTCCTCCATTCTCTTCCTGATGTCCTCCATTCTCTTCCTGATGTCCTTCATTCTCTTCCTGATGTCCTTCATTCTCTTCCTGATGTCCTTCATTCTCTTCCTGATGTCCTCCATTCTCTTCCTGATGTCCTTCATTCTCTTCCTGATGTCCTTCATTCTCTTCCTGATGTCCTCCATTCTCTTCCTGATGTGCTTCATTCTCTTCCTGATGTGCTCCATTCTCTTCCTGATGTCCTCCATTCTCTTCCTGATGTGCTTCATTCTCTTCCTGATGTCCTTCATTCTCTTCCTGATGTGCTTCATTCTCTTCCTGATGTCCTCCATTCTCTTCCTGATGTGCTTCATTCTCTTCCTGATGTGCTCCATTCTCTTCCTGATGTCCTCCATTCTCTTCCTGATGTCCTCCATTCTCTTCCTGATGTCCTCCATTCTCTTCCTGGTGTCCTCCATTCTCTTCCTGATGTCCTCCATTCTCTTCCTGATGTGCTTCATTCTCTTCCTGATGTCCTCCATTCTCTTCCTGATGTGCTTCATTCTCTTCCTGATGTCCTCCATTCTCTTCCTGATGTCCTCCATTCTCTTCCTGATGTCCTTCATTCTCTTCCTGATGTCCTTCATTCTCTTCCTGATGTCCTTCATTCTCTTCCTGATGTCCTCCATTCTCTTCCTGATGTCCTCCATCCTCTTCCTGATGTCCTCCATTCTCTTCCTGATGTCCTCCATTCTCTTCCTGATGTCCTTCATTCTCTTCCTGATGTCCTCCATTCTCTTCCTGATGTCCTTCATTCTCTTCCTGATGTCCTCCATTCTCTTCCTGATGTCCTCCATTCTCTTCCTGATGTCCTTCATTCTCTTCCTGATGTCCTTCATTCTCTTCCTGATGTCCTCCATTCTCTTCCTGATGTCCTCCATTCTCTTCCTGATGTCCTCCATTCTCTTCCTGATGTCCTTCATTCTCTTCCTGATGTCCTCCATTCTCTTCCTGATGTCCTTCATTCTCTTCCTGATGTCCTCCATTCTCTTCCTGATGTCCTCCATTCTCTTCCTGATGTCCTTCATTCTCTTCCTGATGTCCTCCATTCTCTTCCTGATGTCCTCCATTCTCTTCCTGATGTGCTTCATTCTCTTCCTGATGTACTCCATTCTCTTCCTGATGTCCTTCATTCTCTTCCTGATGTGCTTCATTCTCTTCCTGATGTCCTCCATTCTCTTTCTGATGTCCTCCATTCTCTTCCTGATGTCCTCCTTTCTCTTCCTGATGTCCTCCATTCTCTTCCTGATGTCCTTCATTCTCTTCCTGATGTGCTTCATTCTCTTCCTGATGTCCTCCATTCTCTTCCTGATGTCCTCCATTCTCTTCCTGATGTCCTTCATTCACTTCCTGATGTCCTCCATTCTCTTCCTGATGTCCTCCATTTTCTTCCTGATGTCCTCCATTCTCTTCCTGATGTCCTCCATTCTCTTCCTGATGTCCTCCATTCTCTTCCTGATGTCCTTCATTCTCTTCCTGATGTCCTTCATTCTCTTCCTGATGTCCTCCATTCTCTTCCTGATGTCCTCCATTCTCTTCCTGATGTCCTCCATTCGCTTCCTGATGTGCTTCATTCTCTTCCTGATGTCCTCCATTCTCTTCCTGATGTCCTCCATTCTCTTCCTGATGTCCTCCATTCTCTTCCTGATGTCCTCCATTCTCTTCCTGATGTCCTCCATTCTCTTCCTGATGTCCTTCATTCTCTTCCTGATGTCCTTCATTCTCTTCCTGATGTCCTCCATACTCTTCCTGATGTCCTTCATTCTCTTCCTGATGTCCTTCATTCTCTTCCTGATATCCTCCATTCTCTTCCTGATGTGCTTCATTCTCTTCCTGATGTGCTCCCTCCACACAACACAGTCCATATGTGTGTGTGTGTGTGTGTATTTAAAAGTATACAAGTGTTTGTCATTCTGACTGCGAAAACAACAAAGAAGCATACAAAATTAATCTTTGAGAAAACATACAATATATATATTTTCTACAAACAAGAATATAATACCAAAATACAGAATATGCTTCTTATGATACATCGGTAAACATAACAAACACCAGTAGATGAGGAAGACATTATGTAAACACATTTAACCAACAGTTTCAACCTTACAATGGAGCTGTAGTCTGTAGAAGAGTGTACATGTTTAAGAATTATTTGAGTCCCTTGGAGTAGGTGGATTTGTGTTCTTTTATTCCTGTGTAGGGCTTGACGGTCTAGTTGAATTCTGGATGCTTTATTAATACCCTACCCCAAACAAGGAAAATCCACAGGTCAAAGGACAGTCTAATATTTCAGGGGGTGGTAGATAGGCTGCACCCTCTAGACCAATGTAGGTAGGTTGCGCTTAGGGCCAGTTCTAGATGTTCTGGGGTCGTTAAAAGCATCAGAAAACCCAATCTTACCACCCTCTAAAATGTTGGACTGTCCTGTGACACCATCTGGGGTAAGATATTAATAAAGAACCGAATTCTGTGTATCAGCAGAGTGGAATCCTGAATACTGCCAGTCTAGATATTAATCACAGGACGGTATAAGTGTTGCCCTGTGTGTCATGGGGGGTCAGCACTGTTGCATCTATGTTCATGCTAGTTGATGGGGACAAGTCTGTAGCTTCTACAGAGGATGCTATGGTAACTGTAGGTTGACCAGTGTGACAGTGTTACCTAGAGGTTGGCTGAGCCACAGGAACCGACCTGTTTCGAACACCGGCTGTGGGCCGCAGTGGGATTTAAAAGTAAGTCTCCTATCTACTGCAGAACTCAGCCCCCTTTTTATATATAATTTGTGTGCATGTTCATTACCCACTACGCTGGCATGGCCTGGAGAAAAGATCCAGCGTATGCTAACTACCTTAGACCTTTCCAGTGAAACTTGCCACTTTGCTCAAAGCATTCCTGTCTTTACCTTTCTCAGCATGCTTTCAGCGTCTGTTACACATATATATATAGTGCAATGGTGTATTGTTCTGTCCAGTTGTGAAGACTGGGAGAGTGGGAAGGGGTGGGACTGTTCTTTGTGCCGATATAGCATGCTAGCAGAGCAAAACCTGAGTCGTACTTGTGTCTTCAGGTGTAAACCAAGCAGGTCCTCAAGTTGTGGCAACTGGGAACTGTTTAGACTGTGCCGGTTCATTAGCAAGAGTGTGTTAGTGTGCTAATCGAGGGCTCTTGAGTGAGGGACCAACAGATTACTCTTTTTATTCCGGTCAAAATGGACTCTAGGCAGGGCCACAGTTTGGAGCCGATGGATGGTGGCCGATGCATTTTCGCTCCATTTGTAGACTGGATATAGTTTCGTCGCCTAGCTTCTGAGTTGAATGCATGGCGTGACACTGTGAACTGCGGATTTCATTTAGAATGTTTTTTCGACTGTGACCAACGTGGTGGTGTGAATTGTAGATTCAGACAATGGCGTGATGCCTGTTGTCACATGGTTGGTGGTGCCCGTATGTGATTGAAATTGATCGCCTGGGCGACTGCAGATTTGGTGTCTGCAACTACGAACAATGATGAACTGCATTTCTAATGTCGGACTGTTTGTGTTAGCACTTCAGATGGCTACCATATGCTTTTAATGCGTGTGTATGCTCATGCATATGCTGAGACAGCAGTCTGTCAGTCTTTCCACAAGGTACTGTGATAAATATTCTGTGTGTTTTTCGTTGGCACAGGAGCGGAGCAAAGATGGGGTGACTCGTTTGCTATGAAGCTGAATCTAAGACTACCAGACGACCACTCTTTTTATTTGTACTCAGAAATAGGTCAAGGTGTCCAAGCAAAACATTCAGATTTGTGACAGAGTATGTAGCTAATTTTGCACACAAAAAAAGATGAACAAATCCATCTCTGAAGCCACTCAACAAGCGCAAAACAAATAAAAAGAACCATACACTGGACGACAGCCCAGTGTGACGGTAAATGAAGAGGACAAAATACAGAGAGTAAACATATAATAAACATTTCGCAAAGTATCCATTATAAATCACAACTATTTCCCAGAGTATCCATTATAAAGGACACAAATTTCACAAAGTCTCTATTATAAAGCACAACCATTTCACAAAAAACCCATCATAAAGCACAACAACTTCACAATGTAAACATTATTAGTACAACCATTTTACAGAGTAAATTTTATAAAGTGCAACTATTCTTCAACATATAAATGCAAAATTTATACAACTATTTCCGAAAGTACAAATAAAACCTCTATACAGTGCAACTATTTTTTTTTCAAAATCAGATGTCAACTTTATGAAGCATAACTAGTTATCAAAATCAAATGTAAACATTAAGAAGTGCAACTACTTTCCAAAGTACAAATATAAACATTATATACTGCAACTATTTTTCAAAGTGCAATGGTTGAACATAAAATGTTACTATTTTTTTAAAGTACACATTATAAATAATAGTTTTTTAGATAAAAGCACCCCCCTGTGGGTTCTGGGGCCCTATTATAGGGAAAACAAGAATAGACCCACTGCCTACCCAAAAGCATGTCATAAAAGTCGACTAAGTGGAAGCTTCCTTTGGAGTCGGAGTGCATCTGCCTGAGAGGCAGGGAACCAGCAGTCTGCACATAAATGAGTCAGATCTGTCAAACCGATGCACATGCAACACTCAGGTTCTGGAACACGACGTCAGTTCAGAAGTGGATGAACAACCAGAAATTTCCCCTGGAGTTTACAGCTGGTGAATGTGAAGAAGAAAAACAAGAAGAATACAAAGGCTAACTATTAAAAATTACACATGTGAAGTACATTCTATTACAATGCAGAAGTAACAAGTTATACTTGTTCATTTCTGTTTTGATTGTTCCCAATGTTAACTGTGAATTATTTACAAAAGATCTTATCTACAAGTCTTCCATACACTCATGGCAGAAGGTTACTTTGGTAGTCAACATCATGTTAAATTAAGAATCCACATCATAGCACTCGGGACACTCCCATGAGCGCTCTATCAACATCTTCAGCAGCAAGCAAAGAGTTCCAGTGGCACCAGTCACTGTCTGAGTGTACATCAATCTCATTTTTCGCCTGAGTGTTGAGCGTTGTCCAGATCCCCTGGTAACTTAACTGATCACCAAGCACCTTGCTGGATAGTCTGCGGTTATTCATCTCCACAGCCTGTGATCTACAAGAGCATTGGTTATCCGTCTCCACAGCCTGTGATCTACAAGAGCATTGGTTATCTGTCTCCACAGCCTGTGATCTACAAGAGCATCGGTTATCCGTCTCCACAGCCTGTGATCTACAAGAGCATCGGTTATCCGTCTCCACAGCCTGTGATCTACAAGAGCATTGGTTATCCGTCTCCACAGCCTGTGATCTACAAGAGCATCGGTTATCCATCTCCACAGCCTGTGATATACAAGAGCATCGGTTATCCGTCTCCACAGCCTGTGATCTACAAGAGCATCGGTTATCCGTCTCCACAGCCTGTGATCTACAAGAGCATTCATCAACTCATGTGCTGACAACATTTCATGCTTTAAAAAAAAAAAATCCTTAGAATCATCCTGTGTTGTCTTTATCTCTCTCTTATTTTATGACCATAGCATGTTTTATTAATAAAATACAACTGCTGTGTGAAAGATGGGTGTTTGGAAGGGTTGAATGTAAGACCGGCCTGCCTGCTCAATTTGTGAGCCTCTGAAAATAAGTTTGTTCATTCTTTCTCTTTCCTGAATCCTTCCAGTGGTGAAACCAGTTTGTGGGATCAGAGCACTTGTGGTAAAACTGATGTGCACCGAAGACGCTTCTGAGTAATGAGTCAGTTATCGAGGTTTCAATTTAACAGCAAATGGGGTAACCCACATCTGCTTCTTTTCTGTGCCAGTGAAGATCACATAAAATGTCCATTACTGTATCAATTAAAATCTAATAAACAGTCTGAAACTAATAACTCTAGCAAAATCCAGAAACATGTACATATAAATGCACAAGATAATGCAGTAGGTACCAACACCAACAGTCCACCACCATGAATAAACCCTAAATAGCTAGTTAGTCGACAGATCATCCAGGCTACACACAGAGCCATTCACTCCATAAGTGCAGATTCTCTCCTCAGTAAATCCTTCAGCTTTTGTTAACTTATGAAAAGAAGTACTGTGTTGGTTTACTAGTCTTCACACATCCCTTCAGCAGTGCTCTTGTGTAGCTTCACTTCTAAAGAGACTCTCTCCTGAAGTCTGGTCACGGCTTCAGATTTACAGTAATCACTTGAATCTTCAAGCCTCTCTGACAGCAGGCAGCTTCAAGATTTTTAAGAGAAGTGACTTTATTACAACAGGGTTTATCCCATACTGCTACAACATACTCCACTCAGTGGACATCTAAACATAATACTGCCACAACACTCCCCAGAGTGCCAGCTGTGTAACTACCCTTACCAAACTGTTGAACACCATCGCTTTGAGTGCCCAAAACTCAGCGAGACTAGAAGAATGCTACTCCCTCTGAGACCAAACAAGTGGAACACCTTGTACAGAGGAGGAAAAGAACAGCTTGTGAAAACATGCAAATTCCACTACATGGCATTGGGCCAAAGCTCGATAACAACAACAGCAACAATCCCATACTGCTCAGCCACTCTCCACAGAACAGTTAGTCAGCCAAGAAGAACAAGGTATAAACCTCCACTGCAGTAGTTCTGATCAAATCTGGAAGCAAGTGAGCAATGCAGAGGCACACACAAAAAGATCATTAAGGTCTGGAGAGAATGGTACAGCTAGAAGTGACCAGGGGATCTGGTCGACACTCGACACTCAGTAGCATGTCCTCTGCAGAACCTTGCTCCTATAACAACCTTCCAAAGAACTTCTCGATCACAGGCAAGATGTCCCGTAGTTGATACAACCATCTGGAGATCATCCGCCACATCCTTCACCCATCTTCTCGATGGCTTTCCTCTGCTTCTCTTCCCAGGCATATACCCTTCCATTATTGTTCTCTCTTTAAACTTTTGTGTCGTTTCAAGTGACCAAAGTATTTTCTGTTTTAAAGTCTTTAATAGCTAACCTTCTTTAAATATTCAGTTCTTGAAGTATGGATGCATTTGTCCTTTTCTGAAACCATGATATTCTTAGATCCTGTCTATGATATGTGTATTTAAAGGCATTTATGTGCTGTTCAGGTTATTTAGTAAGTGTCCAGGTCTCACAGGCGTAAGTTGTGTGTTGAAAGGCAAGAGAGACTTGTAATCAAATTGTTACTGGTACCACCATGCTGAACCGTTTCATCCTTTCTCAATAAAAAATGAGCAAAGAACTGATATCACAGCAGTAAGAAATTCCCACACTGCTCTGTCTAAATCTTCAGCAGCCAGGGAAAAGTTCCAGTTACAATGGCGTGAGTAGCAGTTTGGTTTTATGTTAGCTTTGCCATTTCTCTGAGTGTAGAGTCTCAACCAGATCTCTTAGTCACTCCTAGCTGTACTACTCTCTCCAGACTATCATGAATTCAAGAATGAGCATTGCTCTAACAGTTCTTCTTATCTCTTCATTTTTCTTGTTTCCTCCTGTTTCTGTGTGCAGCCTTTTCAAGCTTCACCTTTCACTGCTTGCTGTTCATTTCCTCTAAGACATTGCAAGCTACAAGTAATTAATACAAAATTCTTATGTACATCACAATACAGTGCAGACCTGATAAGGAGAACTCAATGGGGAACCAAGAAATGGTTCTTCTCATCAGAACTTTCTCTTATCTGGATATGAGTAACTGATATGGATAAAAAAAACTGTTCTTCACAACATAAATTTGTCATAATCAGTCTAAAAATGATAAATACAGTAAAAACATTGTGCGTGAGTTTATGATGCATTTGGGATGTGCTTGGAATGTATCTGGGATATGTTTGGAATGTGTTTTGGATATGTGCAGGATTTTGGGAATGTGTGTGGAATTATTTTGGTGTGTGTGGTATGTGTTTAGAACTACATGTCCTATGTGTTTAGGACTACATGTCCTAAATGTCCTATGTGTTTAGGACTACATGTCCTAAACGTCCTATGTGTTTAGGATATGTTTGAGATTTGTGTGGCATCTTTTTTAAGGATATGTTAGGAATGTTTTTTTGGTGGATGTTTGATATGTGGTTAGGATATGATCTGTATGGGATGTTTTTTGGTGTGTGTTTGGCATGTGTTTAGGATATGATCTGTATGGGATGTTTTTTGGGATATGTATAATAAAAAATCCAAGATGTGTCCTTGACGAGTTTGGGATATGATCAGGATTAGTTAAATATATATATATATATATATATATGTGGAGGATTCTAAACACAATCCTCCATGGACATCAGCAGTGGGTTGACATATTCAAATCCATCAAATTCAGACTGATCAATAGCAGCAATGGTTTTCCTGCAAGCAAGGATGAATAAAACAAAAATAAAACAAATGTTCAAAATCAAACAGGGAACAGATATATCATATGCATTAAATCATTCCCCCGTTTGGGTTCCGGGGCTCTATTATAGGAAAAACAAGAATAGACCTACGGCCTAACTAAAAGTATGTCGTAAGAGTCGACTTATTGGGAGCTTTCTTCAAAGTTGGAGTGCCTCTGCCTGAGAGGCAAGGAACCAAGAGTCTGCACACAAATGTGTCAGATCTGTCAAACAGATGCACACGCAACACTCAGGTTCTAGAATAGGACTGGAGTTCAGAAGTGGACGAACAACCAGAACTTTCTACCAGAGTTTACAGCTGGTGAATGCAAAGAAGAAACAAGAAGATTAAATCATTCTAGGAAGTTGCCGTGGCATAGCTGTTAGATGCTCGCTTGCGGATCTGAAGGTCATGGGTTCGCTCCCTGGCGGAGTCAGACTTTTTTTCAAAAATGTGACTTGACTCCCAGGTTGACCCAGCCTTGAGTGGGTACCGGGTGCAGTCCCGGGAAGTAAAGGTGGCCAGCATGATGCTGACCACATCACCCATCTTGTGCTAATTAGTCTATAAAAATATAGGTCTAGCCCTATATGCCCTATACACCTAGAGGCGTGGAAAAGGGACCCTTACTTACTTAAAATCATTTTATTATATGTGTGATTACAAACAAGACTGAAAGATGAACTGGTAATATGTACTATCTATAGGAAAGCTAGGAAAGCAGCTGTGGCGTAGCAACTAGATGCTTGCCTGTGAGTCCACAGTTCATAGGTTCCCATCTGCATGAAGCCAGATTTGCTTTTAAAATAAAATTACCTTAGTTACCAGGTTGATCCAGCATACGCTGAGTACCAGCTAAAGTCCTGGGAAGTAAAGGCGGCTGGTGTGATCACCCACTGAGTGTCCACTAGTCTATAGACTTTAAGTATAGTAGAATATATTGAATAACCTTATGACCACTAGTCTATAGACTTTTTAAGGATAGGGGTGCCTATTGACCATGTTCTAGTGCCACTGGCTCCCATAGACGAGGCGCACATAGAATCTGGAGAATGACCAGTTATGACCACTGGTAACTATAGCTTTTAAGTATAGTTTCTATGTTGAATAACCTAATGACCACTAGTCTATAGACTTTAAGTATAGTAGAATATATTGAATAACCTAATGACCACTAGTCTATAGACTTTAAGTATAGTAGAATATATTGAATAACCTAATGACCACTAGTCTATAGACTTTAAGTATAGTAGAATATATTGAATAACCTAATGGCATGGAAAAGGGTCCTTTTCATAGGAAGGCCTAGTTTCACATATGTTGACCTAGTTTTTAGCATGTGTTCAATAACCTAGCAACTTTGCAGTAACCTACAACTCGTACAGTAACCCGCAGCTCCTACAGTAAACCACATCTGCTACAGTAATCCACAACTTCTACACAACCTACAACTCCTACAGTCAAGACCTGTTTACATTTCCAGGCCCAGGATTAGAGTAACTTCCCTTGCCATTTATATCTTCTTAGGTCGCTGGACCTCTTCTATGTTGCGGGTGTCAGGGTTTTATGATATGGCTTGGTTTAGCGATCACACAGTGTATGTAATGTTCTTGGAGGTTGTGTTGTGAGTCTATTTCAGGCGCTGCAGGCAGTATACAAGTAAGAAGTGCTGCAGGGGAAAGCACTGCAGGCACGACGATAAGAAAAACATGCAACACAGAAGAGGTAAGTGACCTAAAGAGGCATGATTAGCAAGAGAAGTTACTCTAATCCTAGTCCTGGAAACGTGAACAGCACCTACAGTAACTCACAACTTCCACAAAAACCCACAACTCCTACAGTAACCCACAACTCCTACAGTAACCTACAACTCCTACAGTAACTCACAACTTCCACAAAAACCCACAACTCCTACAGTAACCTACAACTCCTACAGTAACCCACAACTCCTACAGTAACCTACAACTCCTACAGTAACTCACAACTTCTACAGTAACCTACAACTCTTACAGTAACCCACTCCTACAGTAACCCACAACTCCTACAGTAACTCACAACTTCTACAGTAACTCACAACTCCTACAGTAACCAACAACTCCTACAGTAAATCACAACTCCTACAGTAAATCACAACTCCTGCAGTAACTCACAACTTCTACAGTAACTCACAACTCCTACAATAACCAACAACTTCTACAGTAACTCACAACTTCTACAGTAACACACAACTCCTACAGTAACTCACAACTTCTACAGTAAATCACAACTCCTACATAAACTTACAACTTCTACAGTAACCAACAAATATTGTCATTAAATAAAGCACCCTTTCAGGAACTTACTGGTCATCTGGTGTCAGCCGAACGGGTTCATTAGTGAAAGCAGGGTCAAAGTGCTCCAGGTCTCTCTCGTGGCGGATGTGGGGCTTATAGGGAGGTACGATCAACTTCTCCTCAAGCTGGGCCCAGTCGATGGCCCGGAAAAATGGATGCGACTGGATATCGGTAAATCCGGTTTGTGGATGACACCCAAGTCGTTCAGCTGGTACCTGGGAACAACAACAACAACAACAAATAAAGTAACGTTTTAACAATTAAAAGTACATAAAGTATAAAAAACTTTCAACACAAGTATATGACCACAGTGGAAGCCACTGTGGTTCAGTGGCTAGACGCTCACCTGTGGATTCAAAGATCGCTGGTTTATATCCTTAATGGAGCCAGACATATTTACAAAACGACCATGGCTTCCAGGTCGACCCAGTCGTAAATGGGTACTAGCTAAAGTCCTCGGAGGAAAAGATGCTCTGCATGCTGACCACATCACCCACCACGTGCCGATTGTGGTGTATGAAAAATAGGTCAAACCCTCTATGCCTCAATATAAACTGAAGGCATGGGAAAAGCTCCTCCTTATGACCACAGTACAAAAATGAATGAAGATTTACCCCAAGGACCCCATTTCTAACTCATTAAAAAAATGAATCTAGTTTACCTTACCTAAACACACTTCTACCCAAATATCTGTAGTTTATCTTTTTTACATACACACTGTGTCCGTAAAGGCATGGTGCACTTTTGACCGGTCACAGGAAAGCTTCAAAAGAAGACAGAAATGTTAAATTTGCACCAAATAAAAATAAAACTCTCCAAGTTTCTTAATATGATCTGCAAGTGTGCGCGCATAAAGGTGATGATGCAATATCACAAAACTCTGATAGTTTTCCTTTCATTTGTTGAAGATTTCACATTTCCAAATTGTTTCATTGAATTTCTGTGACCGGTCAAATGTGTACCATGACTTTACGGACACAAGGTACTGTACTCTTAGCACACAATAACAAGACAAGGTACTGTACTACTGTACTCCTAGCAAACAATAACAAAACAGGGTACTGTACTCCTAGCACACAATAACAAGACAAGGTACTGTACTCCTAGCACACAATAACAAGAAGAGGTACTGTACTCCTAGCACACAATAACAAGACAAGGTACTGTACTCCTAGCATACAATAACAAAACAAAGTACTGTACTCCTAGCATACAATAACAAAACAAAGTACTGTACTCATAGCAAACAATAACAAGACAAGGTACTGTACTCCTAGCATACAATAACAAGACAGGGTACTGTACTCCTAGCACACAATAACAAGACAAGGTACTGTACTCCTAGCACACAATAACAAGAAGAGGTACTGTACTCCTAGCACACAATAACAAGACAAGGTACTGTACTCCTAGCATACAATAACAAAACAAAGTACTGTACTCATAGCAAACAATAACAAGACAAGGTACTGTACTCCTAGCATACAATAACAAGACAGGGTACTGTACTCCTAGCACACAATAACAAGACAAGGTACTGTACTCCTAGCACACAATAACAAGACGAGGTACTGTACTCCTAGCACACAATAACAAGACAAGGTACTGTACTCCTAGCATACAATAACAAAACAAAGTACTGTACTCATAGCAAACAATAACAAGACAAGGTACTGTACTCCTAGCATACAATAACAAGACAGGGTACTGTACTCCTAGCACACAATAACAAGACAAGGTACTGTACTCCTAGCACACAATAACAAGAAGAGGTACTGTACTCCTAGCACACAATAACAAGACAAGGTACTGTACTCCTAGCATACAATAACAAGACGAGGTACTGTACTCCTAGCACACAATAACAAGACAAGGTACTGTACTCCTAGCATACAATAACAAAACAAGGTACTGTACTCATAGCAAACAATAACAAGACAAGGTACTGTACTCCTAGCATACAATAACAAGACAAGGTACTGTACTCCTAGCACACAATAACAAGACAAGGTACTGTACTCCTAGCATACAATAACAAGACAAGGTACTGTACTCCTAGTACACAATAACAAGACAAGGTACTGTACTTCTAGAACACAATAACAAGACAAGGTACTGTACTCCTAGAACACAATAACAAGACAAGGTACTGTACTCCTAGTACACAATAACAGGACAAGGTACTGTACTCCTAGTACACAATAACAAGACAAGGTACTGTACTCCTAGCATACAATAACAAGACAAGGTACTGTACTCCTAGTACACAATAACAAGACAAGGTACTGTACTCCTAGTACACAATAACAAGACAAGGTACTGTACTTCTAGAACACAATAACAAGACAAGGTACTGTACTCCTAGAACACAATAACAAGACAAGGTACTGTACTCCTAGCACACAATAACAAGACAAGGTACTGTACTCCTAGCACACAATAACAAGACAAGGTACTGTACTCCTAGCACACAATAACAAGACAAATGTCTGTTGTCTACCTTATTCAAAAATCCCTTCAGCACGGCTGCTGCTTTGACTGACAGCGACCGAGGTATCCTGATTGGCTTTTCCAAAATAACTGTGGGGGAAAACAATGCATTCAATATAAAGCAATGGAAAACAATACAAGAAGATTAAATGGTTCTCCGGTTATGTTATTTGGTGACAAATTATACAATGAACTATGTGAAGAAGCAAAAGAAGCATAGCTTAAGGAGACTGCAGGAAAATCTAAAACAACAAAGTACTCAAAATAGCAAATTATGGCCCAAAAGAATTAGTGAAATCGCTTGTTATCAAACATTAATGAAACATGTCATCTCTATGTGGGGTGCAATTTTTCGTTATTTGAAGCCCCACAGTGGCTTTTGCCGGGGGCCCTAAATATACCTGGGCCTGAAATATTGCCATAACGGCTGAACGGGGTTTCTGGGACCTCTCCACGGGTGATCCTCATCTGCATGGTGGCACTTTGTGTCATTGGGTGTTTATCGCTTGTGTGATATCCTGGTGGGGTACAATTTACATGCATTCATACAGTGAACACACACACACACAAAATCACCCTTATCAGTGGGTTGCCTAAAAACAAATGATGGTAATGACTTGAGATGAGATTTTAGATGCTTGGTCAGAATATTAACACATATTTACAATGATTATAAGTAACAGTTGGCTCTGTGGCTAAGTCGATGCGAACGCTCCATAATGCCGGAATGCCGGGTTCAATCCCATCTGCGGGCCATGCGCCTTGCATGGGTTTCGACAGTGGCATCAAGAAAGCCGACTTTCCAGAAAGCAATGGCATACTACTGGACGTAAATTTGCCTAGAAAAACCACACAACAGCCAGGGACTGTTGGGGTTGGTTCTGCAAACGTCCTGTGAAGGAGACGCAACTAACCCTAAAAGAACAATTTGATATTACTAATAACAATGAAAGACCACCAATTTTGAAGATAGAAGTTCAGAAAGTCCTTAACCATGTGAAAGGAAGCAAGACCCCAGGTTCAGACAACAGCAAAATTGAAATTATCAATGCAGTCAAAGAATGCTGAACAGATCAGGTCACTAGACTACTGAATACAATATATGATGCTTGAGATATAACTAATGACTTGTAAATCTATGTTTATTGCCATCCTAAGAAAACCAGGGGCCTTAGAATAGGATCACCATGAAACAATAAGCATTATGAGTCTTGTCACAGAGATTTTACTAAGAATCATCATGCAAAGCATTAAGAGTAGATTTGCGCTGTGTTGAGTCAAGAACTGATATCACAGCACTCAGGGCATTCCCATATGCACTACGTCCCCATCCTCAGCAGAGTTCCAATACTAATGGGGCCAGTCATAGTCTGGTTGTATGTCTGTCCTGCCTTTCCTCTGAGCGTAGTGTGCTGGCCGAACCTTCTAGTCACACCCAGGTGCATCATTCTCCAGCTCAGCGGTGCAGATACAGACATTGTAGTCTCTCTGCCTGTTCTTTCCCCACCACACCAGCATAGCCTGGAGAAAAGATCCAAAGTATGCTCACTACCCGTGAGCCTGCCACTCTGCATGAAGCAATCCTGTCTTCACCTTTATTCAGTATGCTTTCAGAGTCCATTACAATTACGACATGTGTATGCAGCTTGTTCTCCAGCCACTGACAAGCATGAAGAGAAAGTACAACCAGAAACAGGGGAACAGCAACAAAGGTTAGAAAAAGGCAAGCATACAACAAATGCTGTGTATCTCTTGAGAACAATAATAGAGTGTATTATAGAAGAACAAAGTAAAGTAAAGCACCCTTTTTCACGTATTTAGGCGTATAGGGCATATAGGGCTAGACCTATATTTTATAGACCAATCGGCACAAGATGGGTGATGTGGTCGGCATCACACCGGCCACCTCTACTTCCCGGGACTGCACCCGATACCCACTCAAGGCTGGGTCGACCTAGGAGCCAAGGTTATTATTTTTTTTTTAAAGTGCGGCTCAGCCAGGGAACGAACCCACGACCTCCCGATCCGCGGTGAGTCCCAATAAGATCTTCATCTCTGCTTTATTTATTACACAAAGTCAAAGGCTTCTGACAAAGTAAAACATGCTGACATGAAAAAATGCTAACAAATTTACAAGTTTGTTACGTATCCTTTACAGGACGTTGCAGAACCAACCCCAGCATTTGTTGGCTGTTGTGGTTTTTCTAGGTATATTTTAACGTTCAGTAGTTTGCCATTGCTTTCTAAACAGTTAGCTCTCAATACCACTGTCAAAACAAACGCACGACAAGCAATCTGCAGCTAGGATCGAATCTAGCACCCCGCATTATGAAGCGCGCTGGCGATGCCTAAGCCACAGACACCAACAACAAATTTACAAGCTGATGGACATTATCTTAAGACTGATTAAACATAGAATAACTGACAAACTCAGAAACATATCATATGAAAAGTGACAACAAACATAAAACAATTAACAATAAGAAACAAAGAGATGGTTTTGAACAATAAACATAGAACCACTGACTAACTCAGAAACAGATCATATAAAAGTGACAATAAGCATAAAACACTTAACACAGAAAAACAAAAAGATAGTATCAAACAATAAACACAGAACAACTGATAAACTCAGAAACTGATCATATGAAAGGACAACAAACACAAAACAATTAACAATGAGAAACAAAAAGATGGTATTGAACAATAAACATAGAACAACTGACAAACTCAGAAACAGATCAAATGGAAGTGACAACAAACATAAAACAATTAACAATCTTGTTCTTCTTCTTCTTCACTTCCTCTTTTACCGCTGTGGGTGTCGAGGGAGATATAAGGTTCTGTTTCTGGCTCTTCTGGCTGCCTCGACCATAGGCACATCGTGCTGTTGTAGAGTTTCTCTGATGTTATTCTTCCATCTTGTTCTTGGTCTACCTCGTGCTTTACGTCCTTCTTCTCTTTCCATGTATGCTTTGTATGGTATGGTATCACAAGGCATTCTCTCTAAGTGGGCAAACCATTTCACTTGCTGTCTTCATATGTAATTTATAATTGGTTCTGTGCCGACTTGTTCTCTTATGATCTCATTCCTGATCTTAACTCTTGTGGTCACTCCTACAGCCCTTCTCAGACATCTCATTTCCGTGGTTACTAATTTTCTTTTATGGTTTGTTGTGAGTGACCACGTCTGGCACTGGTAGCACAGAGTTGGAATAAATATGCTTTGAATAAGATGTCTCTTTGTGCTGATTGGGATTGTCTTATGCTGTAAGAGGGGGGCTAGCTGTCCCAATACTTGGTTTGCTTTACTGCATCTAATGTCAATTTCTTTATCCAATTTCCCATCTTCGGTAAATGTAGTTCCCAGATATTTAAACTCAGATGCCTGTTTAATGCCTTTGTATTCTATTGCTATGTTTAAATCTGTCTTCTTTTTTCCTATTGACATTACTTCTGTCTTTTCAGTGTTGATTCTCATATTATTTGTTTTACATTCTTCATTCATGGATGTTAGATGTTGCAATTTCATGGCTGTATCTGCTATCAAGGCCTGGTCATCTGCAAAGAGTAATTCGTTGATCTTACTAAGATCTTCATTCATGGGCTTGGCATTCTTGCATATACTGTCGATGTAGGTGATAAACAGCAGTGGTGATAAGACACACCCCTGTCTTACTCCAGATGTCACTGTGAAAGGATGAGATGTTCCCTGATTTATTCTAACTACACTTCTACAATCCCTGTATAAACTTTTGCACACTTCGATGAGGTGTTCGCTTACTCCATATCTTGCCATTATTTTCCATAGTAATTGTCTGTCGACTCTGTCAAATGCCTTCTCCTGGTCTTATTGTATTCAATGTTCTTTTCTATTAACTGTTTAAGTGTGAAGATTGCATCTGTGCAGCTTCTATTTCTCCTAAATCCCATCTGTTCTTCTGCCAGCTGTGGTTCTATCACTGGTCTCAGTCTTGTTTCTATTATCTTGGCATACATTTTGCCAACATGGCTTAAAAGAGAGATGCCTCGATATTGACAGCATTCTCATTTGCTTCCTTTGTTCTTCCACAATGGTATAACTATTGCATGTTGCCAATCAATAGGGGCCGTTTGTTGTACCCATGCTGCATTAAATATTCTGTGAAGCCATCTGATGCTGCTTTCACCTGCTGCTTGAATTATTTCTGTTGGTAATCTATCAGCTCCTGGTGCTTTATATTTAGGAGACTGTTTAATGACTTTTTCTATTTCATCCATTAGTATGTGTGGTTCTAACACTGTTGCTCTGTGCTCTTCAGTTGTTCTTTCCTGATGATCTCCTAGAGGATTAAAGAGCTCATTGAAGTATTCCCTCCATCTTTCTGCTATCTCGGGTGGATCTATCAATGGCCTTCCTGTCTTATCATTTATTATTTCAGTGGGGTTGTAGCTCTCATCTCTTTTCCGCATATTTTTAACTACTTTGAAAAATTTTCTGCTGGCTGTTTTCTCATTTTCTGCTAGTGACTCACCGAAACGTTCCCGGGATGCTTGTTTTGCTTTCTTGACACTCCTGTTGGTTTCTCTCCTTTGCAGTCTATAGTTTATATAATCTTCTTCTTTCTTTGATTTTATCCACTGTTTATATAAGTCTTTTTACTTTTTAATTGCTTCTTTTACTTCTTCGCACCACCAAGGTAAATATTTGTTATTTCCCTGTCTGTTTCCACTCTTCCGTTTTCCACATAATTCTTCTGCAATACTAAGCATAGTGTTTTTATATATACTCCATTCTTCCTCAATATTGCCAACTACATGTGGAAGTTGTTTGAATGCTGTCTCTACTTTCTGTTGTAACTGTTCTTTTACTCCTTCCTGTTTCAGATTTGCTATCTTGATGAGATCCTTGTTTTTGTTTAATTTCTTTCTGTGTTTCTTTAATGTAAGATGTTTTGCTGTTAACACAACTATTTTATGGTCAGTGTCACATAGACCCTTAGGGATTGCTCTTGAATCAAGAATTCTCCTTCTTCCTTGAACTCTGGTAAGTATAAAGACAATCTGGCTCTTGATGGAGACATCATTCCATTTGTACCAAGTGTAAAGTTGTGAATCTCTATGGTCAAAGAATGTGTTTGTAATAAAAAGATTGTGCTGGCTGCATAGATCCAATATTCTTTGACCATTTCCATTTCTAGCACTGTTCTTAGCTGCATATGGACCTAAAAACTGTTCGTATTCTCTTCTGTTATTTCCTACCCTCCCGTTGAAGTCACCCATTACATATAACAATGAGAAACAAAAAGATGGTATTGAACAATAAACGTAGAACAACTGACTAACTCTGAAAGAGATAGTCCTCTGTGTTCTGGTCAGGATTATCAGCATGGCCCACGGTATCAAACGGCGACCTCCCTGCCATCATCTCATACATCAGCACTCCCAGAGCCCACCAGTCCACACTGAAATCTGTTGAATAACAACATTTGATAATTCATGGAGCAAGTCAGGGAAAGAAAGAAAGAAAGAAAGAAAGAAAGAAAGAAAGAAAGAAAGAAAGAAAGAAAGAAAGAAAGAAAGAAAGAAAGAAAGAAAGAAAGAAAGAAAGAAAGAAAGAAAGAAAGAAAGAAAGAAAGAAAAAGAGAGAGGGGGAAGACAGAGAGAGGGAGGCAGAGAGAGAGAGGAGCCTAGCAGTGCTTGTGAAAGCTGTCAACAAGCATCATTTTACAACTGATACAACTATTGGCACACTGAAGTATACCTTTGTCTACAAAGACCAATTTAACAGGAATAAACTGTTAAAGCCAACGTTATGCTACTACTGTAATCTTCTTCTTCTTCTTCACGTTCACCTGCTGTAAACTCCGGCGGAAAGTTATGGTTGTTCATCCACTTCTGGACTGCAGCCCTGTTCCAGAACCTGAGTGTTGTGTGTGCATCCGTTTGACAGATCTGTATGCAGACTGTTGGTTCCTTGCCTCTCAGGCAGATGCACTCCGACTTCGAAGGAAGCTCCCAATTAGTCAACTCTTACGACATGCTTTTGGGTAGGCAGTGGGTCTATTCTTGTTTTTCCCATAGTGGGGTCCCGGAACCCACATGGGGGACTACTGTAATAATATTCATGTAATCTTTTCTCCAGATCACCTTCATTGATTGTTTTAAGAGTATCTGTAGAGGTTTAGGTTTAGGTGACAGATCAACATCATGGCACAAGAGGTAATCCATACTTGCTCCGTTCTACTTCTGACTCAAGCCTGAGCCCGAAGAATCTTAGCGTAGTGCACAGGCTCTGTAGCACCGGCGAGGATCCTCAAATACTCTGGGTAGATTTTAAACTCAAATTTTGTCCAGGCAGTGCCATTAGGCTACTCTTTTTTATTTCCAACATAGCACACGGGTGTCCAATTTTACTACCCAGAGACCAGAGGAAATTACTAGAAGTCCACGCGAAATATTCCCAGCCATTATCGAGGCCCGAACCCGTGACCTCCAGCACTCGAGGCTGACCCCGTACTTCGAGACCACGTAGCCCCCAAGCCCTCCCCTCCCTTTAGAGGTTTAAAGTTCTGAGACAGATGGGACTGCATAAGGTTTCATGTTAGACAGAAAGAGAGAGAGAGAGAGAGAGAGAGAGAGAGAGAGGGGGGGGGGGGGAAGAGAAAGAGAGTGGGAGAGAGATGATAGATTCACAAAGTGGGTAAGGCAAACATGTCAGCAAGATGACTTCTGTACACTGATAATGAATTCACAAAGTGGGTAAGGCAAACATGTCAGCAAGATGACTTCTGTACACTGATAATGAATTCACAAAGTGGGTAAGGCAAACATGTCAGCAAGATGACTTCTGTACGGCTGATAATGAATTCACAAAGTGGGTAAGGCAAACATGTCAGCAAGATGACTTCTGTACACTGATAATGAATTCACAAAGTGGGTAAGGCAAACATGTCAGCAAGATGACTTCTGTACGGCTGATAATGAATTCACAAAGTGGGTAAGGCAAACATGTCAGCAAGATGACTTCTGTACACTGATAATGAATTCACAAAGTGGGTAAGGCAAACATGTCAGCAAGATGACTTCTGTACACTGATAATGAATTCACAAAGTGGGTAAGGCAAACATGTCAGCAAGATGGCTTCTGTACGGCTGATAATAAATTCACAAAATTGGTAAGGCAAACATGTCAGCAAGATGTCTTCTGTACGGCTGATAATGAATTCACAAAGTGGGTAAAGCAAACATGTCAGCAAGATGACTTCTGTACGGCTGATAATGAATTCACAAAGTGGGTAAAGCAAACATGTCAGCAAGATGTCTTCTGTACGGCTGATAATGAATTCACAAAGTGGGTAAAGCAAACATGTCAGCAAGATGTCTTCTGTACGGCTGATAATGAATTCACAAAGTGGGTAAAGCAAACATGTCAGCAAGATGACTTCTGTACACTGATAATGAATTCACAAAGTGGGTAAGGCAAACATGCACAAATCTGTGACTGAGTTAGCAAAAGTCTGATGGATGATGGACAATGTGGGTAATGTCAGTATGGAGAAGATGTTTTACTGAGTAACTCTGTTGCTAGCACACACACAAATTCACTGGATCCTGAATTTTGTAAGTGTTATGAGTTAGATTATCTTCACAGCACTCCGTACACATCCATAGGCGCTCAGATTCCCCTCTCAACATATTCATCAGCGTCGTGCAGGTAATAGTGCCAGTCCTATGTTGGTTAACAAGACTCTGTGTGCATCCGGTGTGCTTCTCATATTCTTAGCAGTGATGTGGACAGATTGCTTCAAAAATCCTCAGAAAGTCCTATCTCTCAAAGGGCAATGACAATGTCTGCGCGACCCATGTGCCGACCATTTTCAATTAATACATCACCTGCCAAGTCTATCAGCTCTTTCATTACCGACAACGCCTGCATGCCCTGGGACTAATATGAAGGTAAATGCACACACAGGAGAATTTTGTGAGAGCTTACCATATTCCTCTCCCCTCAGGATTTCTGGGGCGATGTAGTTTGGTGTCCCACAGAAGGTCCCGGTCGTGTCTCCTGGTTTTAAACCCTCCTGTATTAGTTGTAGTTTTAGTTAGTGTCATGAAAAAGTAGAAACTGCTCAGATGTACACATAATATCAGTAAAGTAAGCAAAGGTCCCTTTTCCATGCCTTTAGGTGAATAGGGCATAAAGGGCTAGACCTATATTTTTATAGACCAATCGGCACAAGATAGGTGATATGGTCAGCAACACCCCAACCGCCTTTACTTCCCGGGACTGCACCCGCTAACCACTTGAGGCTGGGTCGACCTGGGTGTCAAGGCCATTTTTGAACATAACATCAGTGGAAACATGAAATCTTCACTCAGTATTATAAATTTAAAGTGGCTAAGTTAAGAAATATATACTTTAAAGCTAAGTATTACATAATTTATAGTATCATATACTGACTAACCTTTGACTCAAGACTCACATGGAGAAAACAGATAGAAAAGACACAGAGCAAAGGACTCAGGAGAACACAACTGATGAGGAAGTTAGCTGGAACAGACTGGGGGGCAAACCTCAATGTCCTTAAGAGGACCTATACAGGCTATGTGAGGCCAACACTAGAATATGGAATAGCTGCTTGGGGCACAGCTGCTAAATCAAATTTTCAGAAAGTCTCAAAGATCCAAAACCATGTTCTCCGTATTATGACGGGTTGTCTCCACGCCCATATCAGCTATGGAAACAATTACTGGTCTCCATGATCTGGAAGATAGGAAACACTGAAAGATCCTCATTTATCTCCAAATACCACTTTCAGGATCAACCCATGTACACATGGCAGAAACTTTCTAAAGAGAACTTGCTTTATTAAAGTGAAATGCCAAGCTTGCTGTCTTAAATCCCTTTAATAGAAAGTTCCCTGAACCGCTTACAAGTATGCCCCGCTGACTTAGGGATAGTTTACCAACAGTCAGAACCACTTAACAGGGGTCTCCTCCAAAACATCAATGAATCAAGTGATGACACTACTTCTGAAGTATACTGATGCAGACTTTAGTGTTACACCAGAGTGGGATTCGAGTGTATACAGCTGGTTCAGCCAAGAGACAGTAAGAGATGGCTCAAGGTATATCCACCCGAAGGTGTTTGACACTCAACGGCACATCCATTTCTCCAATTGCTGAGCTGATGGTGAAAAACTACATGTCACTTAAAGATGAATGCTGTTTCAGCACAGCGATATATATACCTGTTTTTGACTTTTGAATTGCTTAAAACATTTGTAAAAAGGCCAAAGAGTCAATAAAAAAGCTGGATTTCTTAATAAAAAAAAAAATTTGTTTTTAGTTTTATGTTTCAAGCATTGAAGTTGAAAATTCAATTTCATATTTTCTATTTTTAGATATGCAAATGAGATAATTTGCATATACATCAATTAATTTTATTCAACGATATTGTGAAAATCACGAACTTCAATCTATATCCCTTCAAATAGATTATTTCATAGGGGTCAGAATAACAGAAATCTGTCAAAAAAAATTAAATTTTTCCGTTGTAGGAAAGTACTAACCAAATCCCTCACTGAAAAAAGCATGCTCCAACACTGTTTTGGCTAGACCTCTGAAAAACTTCCCGTGCTAAAAGGGTTAAGTACCAATTGAGTACCACACATTTTATACTCAAGTGATAAATATTTTATAGCTAAATATCACAGATACTATAGTTGTACCACACATTTTATACTCAAGTGCTAAATCTTTTATAGCTAAATATCACATATTCTATAGTTGTAAAAAATATTTTATACTCAAGTGCTAAACATTTTATAGCTAAATATCACATATTCTATAGTTGTACCACACATTTTATAGTTAAATACAACACGTTTTATAGTTAAGTACCACATATTTTGGTCTAGCCCTATAGGCCCCATACACCTAAAGACAAGGCTGAGGATTCTTTCCTTATTTACTTTACTTGCCACATATTTTATAGTTAAGAACCACATATTTCATACTGGTACCATCAGAACTGGAACTCTTCTCTTGCTGCTAAAGATGGCTACGGAGCACTTATGGGAGTGTCCCAAGTGCTGCGATGTTGATTCTCAGTTCAACATTTACCAATATTTTATAGCTGAGTACGACATGTTTCAGTGCAGGGATAAAGGGTCGAAGGAGAAGTTGCACTATTAATTTTATAAAACGTGTGGGGGGAAAAAATTGTATACAGCTAGACTTACTTTATTGTATACAACTAGACTTACTTTATTGTATACAGCTAGACTTACTTTATTGTATACAACTAGACTTACTTTATTGTATACAGCTAGACTTACTTTATTGTATACAACTAGACTTTATTGTTGTATACAACTAGACTTACTTTATTGTATACAACTAGACTTACTTTATTGTATACAACTAGACTTACTTTATTGTATACAACTAGACCTACTTTATTGTATACAACTAGACTTACACTTTATTGTATACAACTAGACTTACTTTATTGTATACAACTAGACTTACTTTATTGTATACAACTAGACTTACTTTATTGTATACAACTAGACTTACTTTATTGTATACAACTAGACTTACTTTATTGTATACAACTAGACTTACTTTATTGTATACAACTAGACTTACTTTATTGTATACAACTAGACTTACTTTATTGTATACAACTAGACTTACTTTATTGTATACAACTAGACTTACTTTATTGTATACAACTAGACTTACTTTATTGTATACAACTAGACTTACTTTATTGTATACAAACTAGACTTACTTTATTGACAACTTACTTTTTATTGTATACAACTAGACTTACTTTATTGTATACAACTAGACTTACTTTATTGTATACAACTAGACTTACTTTATTGTATACAACTAGAACTTTACTTATTGTATACAACTAGACTTACAACTGTAGACAACTAGACTTTACTTGTATACAACTAGACTTACTTTATTGTATACAACTAGACTTACTTTATTGTATACAGCTAGACTTACTTTATTGTATACAGCTAGACTTACTTTATTGTATACAACTAGACTTACTTTATTGTATACAACTAGACTTACTTTATTGTATACAAATAGACTTACTTTATTGTATACAACTAGACTTACTATTGTATACAACTAGACATACTTTGTTGTATAAAATTAGATTTTTTTAGTGTATACAACTAGACTTACTTTAATGTATACAACTAGACTTACTTTATTGTATTCAACTAGACTTACTTTATTGTATACAACTAGACTTACTTTATTGTATACAACTAGACTTACTTTATTGTATACAACTAGACTTACTTTATTGTATACAACTAGACTTACTTTATTGTATACAACTAGACTTACTTTATTGTATACAACTAGACTTACTTTATTGTATACAACTAGACTTACTTTACACATGCCATAGTCGGTCAGCTTGATGTGTCCTTCTGCGTCCAACAGCACATTGTCCAGCTTCAGATCTCTGTACACGATGCCTGGTAATGACCACACAAAACATCCTTGAGTACTAAAGATCTCACCATAAGGGCACAATAACCTGAAGATCAAGCAGCCTGAGGACCCACGGGTATAAAGCAATGGCTCTCAGCCTTCCTAATTCGGCGACCCTTTAATATAGTTCTTCATGTTGTAAAACCCCGCTCCCTCTCCCCGACCCCCCCAACCATAAAATTATTTTTATTTTTGTTGCTACTTCATATCTTCAGTGCAATATGTGTTTTTCTATTGTCTTAGGTGACCCCTGTAAAAGGGTCATTTGATCCCCCAAAAAGGTCATGACCCACAGGTTGCAACCGCTGGCATAAGGGAAAAACTATGGGGGTGACTGCAGTCAAGCTAATACAATGAATTCCAGAGAAATTTGACTAAAAAGCTCAACAAAATGGGAAAGAGGAAAACGTGCACAAAACAACACAACGTAACGTTTCGGCCGGGCAGCCTTTTTCAAACATAAGTGAAATACACAAGCGAGGAATGGAGAGTCTGTAGATCTCTAAGGGGTGACGTGAGCGACGTTTAAAAAATGTGATGCGGAATAAATTAAATAAAATAAAAAAATATAGTCACAATAATGGGAACAAAAGAAATGCAAGTGTTAATGATACATAAATGATACTGATAAGAAATAGAATAAAGTAATAATCTATCTATATATATAAAAATCAATGTTTGTGTGTTTGTTTGCTCCCTATAGACTCGGAAACTACTGAACCGATTTAGCTGAAATTTTCAGGATATGTTTGTTGTGATACCGGATTTTGAACTGTCGTGGTTTGAAATTCAACCTGTCACTGTTAGAGATAGGTGACCACAATTGATGCCAAAATATACGCAACTAATATTTATAACTTTAGTGATTTCTAATTATAGCCACGTTAGTAATTGCGCATGTGCCGTATTTACCATTCGCCGGCGAGTTACGTGCAGCCAACGCCTTCTCTAATACTAATACATAGAGTAGGTCGTGGTACAGCAAACAAGACTATCTCTATATTTGCCACAATAACCATATTAAACACGATTTCTATTTTCTGTTTTTTTTTCAAACAACCTTCGATGGGGGGGGGGGGGGGGGGGGGGGGGGGGGGGGGGGGGGGGGGGGGGGCACTCAAGGACTATCTCAACGTCGGCACAGACAGTGACTGCGACATTAACTTCATTAACCGTGTTAGACACGTGCGATTTCTATTTCATTAATATATCTGGAGTATCTGTCTACGAGAAAACAATTGCCTGCGGTTTTGAATTGTGTTTTAATCGCGACACAGTAGTAGGGACTCACATGTCTAATAGTTGAGTTCTCTTTTCATTGTTCCGATTAAGTGGCTGCTTGGTCGAATGGTTAGAACACTGGGTTCATGTGCGGTAGACCTGGGTTCGAATCTGCAGCCGTTAAATTTTTTTTTACCCCGGACTAAAATAATATCCTCATCTGCTGTCGTGGTGACAGCACTAGCCATGTTGCCTTAATATTTAAAAAAAAAAAAAAAAAAAGTAAATGGGTAAACCATTTGATAATTAAATTTGACCATTTCGCATACTTATGATTGCATTGTTAAACTTTCCGATTGCATGGTTACGCTGAAATTTTATAGATTTTCATTTATTTTCATTTAGATTTAGTTATTTCATCTGTGTTGGAATTTTAAGCTGTGCTGTTTACAATGGCGTTCATTTCCTAATTATGGTGTTTTTTTTTTTTTTTATTTTTTTTTTCCTGTGTTCGTTTGCTTTTTTCAAGTGTTTTTTTTTTTTTTTCTCCCCAACTACTTCAATGAGAGAAAGAGTTGTCGGTGAATTTGGGGGGAGGAGGGGGGCAAACTATTAACTGAAAGAGCTTTAAGTCACAGTAACTGCTTTACCCACTTAAAGTAGCAGCAGCAGTAATAGTTGTTACACCAGGGCTGTTACACCATAGTGCTCTCATGTGAAGACCGCCGGTAAGGTTATGGCGTTCTTCTGTCGGCAAGTGAAATTATACATCCTAACCTGACCAGTCTGTGGCGACAGCACTAGCCATGCGGAACCAAATCTTCTGGCTCACGACTCTCTGTCTACTCCGATGGTAACACAGATAGCAGTGACATTATTTTAGTAGTTGTACTGGTACTTGAAGGATGATGTGGTAAATATTACACTAGCCCTATTCACTACCTTTTACAATTCCTGCTCCCTATTTTAGTCCAGATGGACAGGGATGTCAATGTCAGTTACAGCAACAACAAAATATCGCCAGTTAGTGATTTTCAAATCCTTCGAAGAGGGAGAGAGCAGTAGTCGGTGGAAGAGGGGAGGGGGTAATGTCTTAAATTTAAGAGAAATTAAAGAGCTTTACACTTGATTTTCAAGTTCTCATTACCTAATTTGTTTATATTTTACTAACGCTACCTCAGCTTTTCTATTTTTTACGACTTACTTTGTTATTCACAAGTACAGTTGTAGCTTTACTTCCGTCCCCTATAAAAATACAAACAGCTTTAGCATGTGATAACCAAATAACCATTTTTGTTACTGTGCTAATAACACCATTTAAACGACCACTAATATAAAGACACAATTATCAGGTGCGTGTTCTAAAGTTGAAAAACCAGACTATCGCTATATCCGTGCAGAGCATGATTGCGACATTAACTGTATTAGACACGTGCGATTTCCATTGTCTTTCTTTTCCAAAAACCTTTGATGAGGGAGATAGTAGTAGGTGGATTTAGTTGTGGTGGTGGGCGGGGATCAAAGACTATCTCTATATATGAGCAGACAATGATTGTATTAGACACGTGCGTTTTCTATTTTCTTTCATTTCCATTTAGCCAAACTATGCCACAGCAACACGTGGCCGGGTACAGCTAGTATGAAATAAAATAAAATAATTAACATTTAAAATGTGATAAGATTAGAACTATTTAGATGAAGGTAGGTTGGATTTTGATACCACTTGGACAAAGAACGCCAAGGCTGTGGATAAGGCGATTTTCTAAAGCGAGGCGAGTAGTATGATCGCCAGAGCAAGATTTTAATGCTGTGACAGATATGTCATCTTTACCGCTGTGGTCAGGGCTATTAAAATGAAGAGGGATTGGTTTGAGTGTCTTCTTGTCAATATCAGAGAGGTGTTCCCGGAAACGATCAGCTAGCTTCCTGAAAGTCTCCCCAATGTATGCCTTGCTGCATCGTTTGCAGATAATTGCATAAATTACGTTGCGGGATTCGCAAGTAAAAGGTTCCCTAATTTGAAAAGAACCATTAGGGAAACTGACCTAAGATGTCTGGACAACGAAAGGAATAAATATGGAGCGCTTCATGAATTTGCATGTCATCCTTGCGCAGGGGCCATGCTAATCTACTCTGTATCGTTCCAATTTTAGTATATGTACTGCGTGAACATATATCATAACCTTTCGTTGTTCAGACATCTGGTAACACATTCCATATTATTTTGAATATATTACATTTATTTGTCATTCAGCAAATAATAATAATTATTATCATCATCTTGTTCTACATTTTGTTTGTCCAAGTGATATAACTGCCTTGTGTCTTTCGCTGCCTCTTTCCATATATCTTGACAGTTGTTGACAAAGTTCTAGAGCCCATTCTTTGTCTGAAAAATGCTGACAGTCTATGCCTAATGTGTCTCACCAGTTTACGACTTTCATCTGTCTTAAGTAGAATTGCCTTGTTTGTTTTTCTTTCATGCCATATTTTTTGCACTCTTCTCTGCGAGAAAATGTTTTTCAATCTGTCTGCATACTTTCATCTGTCTTAAGTAGAATTGCCTTGTTTGTTTTTCTTTTATGCCATATTTTTTGCACTCTTCTCTGCGAGAAAATGTTTTTCAATCTGTCTGCATACTTTCATCTGTCAATAAGAAGAATTGCCTTGTTTGTTTTTCTTTCATTTCATGATACTCTTTGCCTTTTTCTCTGCAAGAAAATATTTTTCAATCTGCATATTTTCAGCTGGCTTACGTAGGATCTCTGTTTATTTTTCTTTCATTCCATATTTTGTGCATTCTTCTCTGCGAAAAATGTTTTTCAACCTGTCTGCATATTTTCCATGTCTCACATGCATATAACAGGGTTCCACAATAACACCTTGACACTCTTTTTTTTTTTCCACTGCAACTGACATTTTCTTATCAGTGAGTATTAATTTTATCATCACCAAGTGCCTTGCCGACTAGCCTGGCCAATCATGCCTTTCCACAATCTGTGATCTGCAGCTGCATGCAGTGTTGCCACTTTGGATGTTTTACATCCAGATTTAGATATTTTTTGTTGCATTTAAATGGCATTTTTTACGTTTAGATGGTAGATGTTTTTCTAGATATTTTTATTTGGAGTGAATTTATTAAATCTAACCTAAGAAACAGGAAGAAATTTGACCTCTTAAATGCTATCTTGACAATAAAATTTGGCCTGATAACAGTAGGAAAAGACTGTTCCACTTATCAGCTTGGGTGACTTCCGGTTAAAATGGACGCTAGACAGCGGCGCCGTTCGGAACAGAGGCAATTTTTTTTGCTTCTGCCGGACGGTGGCCGATGCATTTTTGCTCCATTTGTAGACTGGATATAGTTTCGTCGCCCAGCTTCTGAGTTGAATGCATGGTGTGACCCTGTGAGCTGCAGATTGCACTTGGAATGTTTTTGTTTTTTTCGACTGTGACCAACGTGGTGGTGTGAATTGTGGATTCAGAAAATGGCGCGATGCCTGTCGTTCAATGCTGGCGGGACCCGTATTAAAATTGATCACGCGGATAACTGCTGATCTGTTGACGACAAGTTCTGCTATCATCAATGATGAACTGCATTTCTAATGTTGGACTGTTTGTGTTAGCACTTCGGATGGCTACCACATGCTTTAATGCGAGTGTATGCTAGATATGCTGAGACAGCAGTCTGTCAATCTTTCCACAAGGGAACGGACATTCTGAGTGTTTTTCGTTGGCACAGGAGCGGAGCAAAGATGGGGCGACCCGTTTGCTATGAAGCTGAAACTAAGACTACCAGACTACCCTGCTTGGGTATTAAAAGAAATTGGATCAGATCAAGCATACCCGAGTCATTTTGGATCTAAAGTTTTAACTTTATCATCCAAGCTAAGTTTATCCTGTGGATTTTGTAAGGCAGACCTCAGTAATGATGAGGACATGATTCTATAGGGTAAGACATATCAATTGCTATGTAATTTGTGACTTTTTCCATTTGGATGTTTTTTCTAGATGTTTCCCATGCAAATTTAGATATTTTTAGATATTTTTTTGTCAAATAAAAGTGGCAACACTGGCTGCATGGATCAGTCTGTGTGTTGAGACACCTCCATGCCATGACAAAAGGCCACCAAGAATCTTCTCACGTTGTCTTCCTCGGTCTCTCTTTCCACAGATTTTCCCAGTGGTCACAACATGCTCCAATTTCCCTCTTCTCATATACATGACCAAAAAATTTTGACGTTTTTCTGATGTTTGCGATAAGTTGTCTCCAAGCACTTGCCTCTTTCAAAACATCTGGGTTGCTCTCCGTGACTGTCCAAGGAATTCTAAGAATTCTTCTGCAAAACCACATCTCCGAGGCCTCAAGATATTGTTCAGCATGTTTATTAATTGTCCAGGATTCACAACTGTATGTTAAAAATGGCTCTCTATAGTATGTGAGAATTCTTTTTCTTAACCTCCAATGACATGGATTTACTGCAAAACATGTTCTTCAATTTATAAAATGCAGTTTTGGCTTGCCCTATTCTGTTCTTTATCGCTGTGAGACCTCTTCCATCGGATGTTATCCATGTGTCTAGATACTTAAATTTATGTACTAATCCTAACAAAACGCCTTTGACTTTTTTTTATACATTTAGGCATAATACTTGTGGACTGGCACCTGAAACAACAGATCACATCCTTCAAGACTGTCCCAGATTCAACGCTTTCAGGCAAAACCTTTGGCCAAAAGAGACACTTGTGGAAGTCAAACTTTACAGGCCGTTTAGTGAATTACAAAAGACAGTGAAATTCATACTAGAGACAGCTTTGCAGATATAGACAATTTATTTCATGCGAACGAAAGAAGAAGATTTAGGCATAATTCTTTTCTTGTAAATAATCATTACTTCTGTCTTGACCTTATTCAAACTGAGGCCCATTTTATTACTTTCTACCACCATCATATCTATCAATTCCTGTAGTATCAATTTACATCTTGTTAAAATCCACCTTTTCCATGGTCATTCTTGCTTCAATTTCTGCAAAGTATCTCACCTCAGATGTTATGAGTGTTATAAGATAGTAAAGTAAAGCAAAGGTCCCTCTTCCACGCCTTAAGGGGTAACTACAAGGCATTTTTTTTTTCAATTTATGACAAAAATATCACTTTTTCAATGTGTTAATTTTTGTAATGTCCGGCATTCGTAGAATAGATTACACACAAAATTTGTGTCATTGGTAAACAGTTTAGCATTGAAAAGTTAATACTAAAGACACCAACCCATGCACTTTTTTAAGATAAAAAAAAGTGTAAAAGTCACTTTTCTAACAATTCTATTTTTCTGTTTGTTGTGTATTGGATCTCCTAAAATTTCAGCTAATATAAAGACTAGAGACATGAAATTTTGTGTGGATACTCCTAACACAATATTATAGGGTCAGGTCTATTTGAAATTACATTTTGTAAAGTAGTTTTTTTTTTAATTTTATTATTATCTTAAAAAGCTACATTTTTGTAATTTTTTAACATACCTAAATTTTAATATTCTAAAAAAAATATTTAGAAACATCTTTGAAGTAAATAAACTAGACCTAACCATAAACATATGTTTAAAGTTCATGAATCTATCATCTGTTTCTCAATACCTCTGTTTTTGAAATTTTAGCTGTCTAAGTACATGTTGTTTTTTCATCAAGATGGCGGCTGTTGCCATGGCAACCATGTTTTTTAAGTCTACAAATGTAGCAACATACATCCCTACAAATGACCATTATAAAATTTTTGAAAAAAATGGTGCCTGTAGTGACCCCTTAAGTCGTATATGGCATATAGGGCTAGACCTATATTTTTATAGACCAATCGACACTTGGTGGGTGATGTGGTCAGCATCACGCCGGCCACTTTTACTTCCCAGGACTGCACCTGGTACCCACTCAAGGCTAGATCGACCTGGGAGTCAAGGTCATTAAAAAAAAAAAAGCTGGGCTCCATCAGGATGCGAACTTGCGACCTTCCGATCTGCAGGCTGGCGTCTAGGCTATGAGATAGTATGCAACACACATTATATAAGCAAACAGCAGGTTCCTTAAAGAACATCACTGTAGGCCTCAAAGTTTCTCTTTCTGTAGCCAATTCTCCAACCCTATGTGCTTTCAGAACCAAAGCTTCATTACTGTGTTTTTTCCACACTCACAGAGGTCTACATCTGCCTCATTTTCTGGAATCTGTGCCCTCGTTCACCATTCTCTCCAGGCTAGTGGGGTTGCCTGGTCTCGAGGCATGGTGTCCGCCTCGAGTGCTAGAGGTTTCAGGTTCAATCCCCAGTAATCCCCACGTGGACTTTGACTTCTTGTAATTCCCCCTGGCCTCTGGGTAACGAGATTGGAAGCCCGTGTGCATTGTTGGCATGCAAAGAATTGCCTTGGCAGTTGAAATTCGAAAAGAGTAGCCTAACGGCGCTGCACAGGTACAAATTAGAGTTTAAAATCTACCCAAAGTATTTCAGGATCCTCACCGGTGCTACAGAGCCTGTGCACTGTGCTGAGCTCCTGTGGACTCAGACTTGAGTTAGAAAAAGGACGGAGCACTAATGGGTTACATCCAAGTGCTATGATGTTGATCCGTTGTTCAAAACCTAAAAAAAAAAAAAACCTCTTTCCAGGCCAAAGGGACGTTCAACATTGCCAAATACCTCAGCTTTCGGGACAAAATGCTATTTATGAGCCAGTTCTGCTAGCATTTCTTCATCTTAGTTGGTTATTTAGTCAGTCTTTCCTCTTGGGCCTAGTGCAGCACCTAGGGCAACGGTCATAGCTCTCCATGTCTGGCCATTCGTTGCAACCTGCTTGCAGGTCTTGGTTTTTTGTAAGGTTGAGCCTTTCCCTGATGATGGTTCTACGCAGAGTCTCTCTTGGATTTCCCTATTTTCTTGTCCCTTCCAGTGTCCATTTCAGGGCTTGATGGGGGAGTCTTGTCTTATCCTTTCTGAGTGCATGGCCGATGCAGTCATCTTGGTACAAAACAAAACAAACAAAAAAAGTTTAAAGCACATAAGACATAAGAAAGAAACGGTTACCTCTGGTATGGAGAAAATTAAGTGCCAAACATATTTCTGCGGCATAAAACCGGGCATGTTCCTCGGGTAGTCTCCTCTGTCTCTGCATGTGAAACATCAGATCTCCCCCATTCACAAACTCAATGACAAAAAACAGTCTGTGGAGACACAAAGAACAGTATGTGGAGACACAACGAACAGTCTGTGCAGACACAAAGAACAGTCTGTGGAGTCACAAATAACAATCCCCCGACACAAAGAACAGTCTATACAGACACACACAAAAAGTGTGTAGGGCATGAAGAGCAGCGTGTGGAAAAACCAAGAACAGTCTGTGCGGGGGAGGGGGGGGGGAGAGAGAACAGTATGTGCAGAAACAAGGAACAGTCTGTGGAGACATAAAAAACAGTCCGTGGAGACATAGAATCATATGTGAAGACACAAAGAACAGTCCATATAGACAAAGAACTGTATGTAAAGACACAAAGAACAGTCCGTGGAGACACAAAGAACACTGCAGAGACAAAGAACTGTGGTAAATCATTAAGGATAGTCTGTACAATCACACACACACAAATACAGTCTGTACAATCAAACAAAAACAATGTGTACACTCACACAAATAAACAGCCTGTACAATCACATAAAATACAGTCTGTACAATCAAACAAAAACAGTGTGTAAAATCACACACAAAAACAGTCCGTATGATCACACACACAGTCTGTACAATAAAACAAACAAAAACAATCTGTGCCGTCACACAGAACAGTCTACAGAAACACAGAGAACAGAGATTAAATAACAATAACTATAAACTGGCAACTCTGACCACACTACAGGAGCTGCTTGTCAATAAACAACAATAACTATAAACTGGCAACTCTGACCACACTACAGGAGCTGCTTGTCTATAAACAACAATAACTATAAACTGGCAACTCTGACCACACTACAGGAGCTGCTTGTCAATAAACAACAATAACTATAAACTGGCAACTCCGACCACTCTACAAGAGCTGCTTGTCAATAAACAACAATAACTATAAACTGGCAACTCTGACCACTCTACAGGAGCTGCTTGTCAATAAACAACAATAACTATAAACTGGCAACTCTGACCACTCTACAAGAGCTGCTTGTCTATAAACAACAATAACTATAAACTGGCAACTCCGACCACGCTACAAGAGCTGCTTGTCAATAAACAACAATAACTATAAACTGGCAACTCCGACCACGCTACAAGAGCTGCTTGTCTATAAACAACAATAACTATAAAGTGGCAACTCTGACCACACTACAAGAGCTGCTTGTCTATAAACAACAATAACTATAAAGTGGCAACTCTGACCACACTACAAGAGCTGCTTGTCAATAAACAACAATAACTATAAAGTGGCAACTCTGACCACACTACAAGAGCTGCTTGTCTATAAACAACACTACTGGCAACTCCGACCACGCTACAAAGAGCTGCTTGTCTAAAAACAGTAACTATAAACTGAACTCCACAAGACACAACAATAACTATAAACTGGCAACTCTGACCACACTACAAGAGCTGCTTGTCAAAATCATTGAATCCAGACATGAGCACAATGCAGCAGTGGCCAAGAAGGAAAAGAAACCAACATAAAACTGATGTCCTCAGCAGCCACAAGCTAAGGAGGGGATCAGTGCATTTATGGACTGAATGGTTCAATAAATAGTACGGATGATCTGTTGGTGTAAAAAAAAAAATGTTGTTGCTCTACACAGAGTTAAAAACTGCCATCACAGCACTAAGGACATTTCCACAGCTGGCCTATCCTCATCTCTAAAAGTTTCAATGTTGACAATACCAGCAGTAGTTTTACTATACACCGTCTTGCCTCTCCTCCGAGTGTTAAATGACTTCTAGCCAGATCCACTGGTCACTGGTTGCCATAACATTCTCTCTAGACATAATAAATCTATTTGCCCTTCTATGTTGTTTAATTAATCCCAAAAGGCCACATCATCTTGCTTGTTGTGCATCAATTTACTCGCTTCCCATGTGGCAGCATCCAAATTGTCTGCCTGTTCGTATCCCAACACACTTGCATACCTCATAGAAAAGATCAAACAAAGGCTTTAAAAAGGTAACAAGCTCAACAAACAAACAAAAACACTTCAACCAGGATACCAACCTGCTTGAAGTCTGGAAACAGGAGTGCAGGCCCACCAGGAATGGATAATTGGTGGCTGCCTCAAACACGTGCTTCTCTGTCTGCACCCAGTCAATATCCTGGAAGTCAGAATAACATGGTCAAAAGAGACATCTAGTCCTAGACATCATGGGGGAGGGAGGGGGAGATATATATGACATTCTCAAAAAAACCTGACATTGTCAAACAAGACATATATAGACCTCAACAACAACAAAATAACATGGTAAAAAAAAAAAAGACATGACCTAAACAGCAATTTAAACGGTGAAAAGAGACAGGGATAAAAAAAAAAAGATTTATATCATCTTGTCAAAAAACCGACATTGTCAAACAAGACATACATAAGACCTCAACAAAAAAATTAACATGGTTTAAAAAGATATCACCCCATCAGCAATTTACACGGTTGAAACGAACGAGATTAAAAAAAGATATATATGACCTCATTAAAAAAAACTGACATTGGCAAACAAGACATGTATATGACCTCAACAACAAATTAACATGTTAAAAAAAAAGACAGTTCCTCAACAGCAATTTACACTGTAAAATAAACAGGGATAAAAAAAGATTTATATCATCTAGTTGAAAAAAAAAAAAACATTGTCAAACAAGACATATATAGACCGCAACAGACAATTAACATGATAAAAAAAGACATTACCTCGACAGCAATCTACACAGTTGAAAGAGACGTGGGATTTTTAAAAAAGATATATTAACAACCTCTTCAAAAAACCAACATTGTCAAACAAGACATATATAGACCGTAACAGACAATTAAAATGGTCAAAAGAGACAAGACCGCGGCAGCAATTTGCACAGCTGAAAGAGACAGGGATTAAAAAAGACACATATGACATTCGTCAAACAACTGACATTGTTAAACAAGACATATATATGTCTTCCAATGACATGGTTGAATGAGACAGGGTTAAGCCAGTCGTCATGGTAATGGTAATGTTAGTTTCAACTTCATAGCAAACGGGTCACCCCATAGTTGTTCCGCTCGTGTGCCAACGAAAAACACACAGAATTTTATCACAGTCCCTTGTGGAAAGACTGACAGACTGACCTCTGACCTCTATCACTGCAGCTTAGGGGAAAATCTGACATCAACTTGGCTTTAATGCTACTTTTGTGCAGGTGCAAACTTCGCCAAATGCATTAAATAAGCATCTTGTAAACAAGTCATTATAGACAAGTCGGAATAGTGACATTTAGGGGAAAGTGGACCCAAACAGAAATGCAGTTTTACAGATAATTTACAATCCCTTACATTTAAAATGTCTTACGTTTTCAATTCCTTACATTTACAATCCTTACATTTACAAATCCCTCATATAAAAAATTCCATACATTTACAATTCTTTACATTTACAATTCCTTACATTTATTATGCCTCATAAAGCCAAAATGACTAATCCAGAGGTTCTGAAAAAGGAAAGACCTGAAGATACAAACATCAGAAAGACAGATTTATTTTAACCACTTTATGAGAAGTTGACATGTGTGGCTTAGACACTGCTTTGTAATGCCCAAGTGCAGGGTCCGTTCCCATCTGCAGGCCATTTGGCAGCAGACCGCCTTGCGTTGGTTAAGATGGTGGCATCGAGAGCCGACCGTTTAAAAAGCAATGGCAAACTACTCAATGTAAAAGTGCCTAGTAAAACCAAACAGCCAGACAATGCTGTTGTTGGTTCTGCAATGCCAGGTAAAGGACAGGCAACTAACATATGATGAGCAAGACACCAGAACATGTAAAACATTGGAAAGGTTTATAGAAAAAAGGAGGTATAAACAGATTCTTCACAAGGAATGGTTTCGGCATAACATCCAGTACAGGCTGTTAGAGATCTAAGTCGCGATCATTCAAGCTAGCCCCTTGATGATGATGACAGCACATATGACATCAGGGGTCTCCGTGGCGAAGCTGTTTGCCTCGCACTTTGAAGGTGGTGGGTTCATTTCACAGAAGTACCTTTCAGTTCATGAGTGCAATTTTTACGGAGATCCCTTGGTGTCATCGCCGGAGATACGTGCTCTGTGCGGCATTCGCGGCTAGCGGAGACAGACCGAGCCATAAGGTATAAAACCTGGTGCGATGAAGTCGATCATCAAGACTTCAACTGTAACTTTAACAGATGACATCAGGACACCAAACGTTATGTGCTTAACTTACCTCGTCGTCATTCACCAGTGATTTCTTGATAACCTTCATAGCATAGATCCGCTTGGTTTTCTTATGCTCCACCTGCAGGACTTTAGCATAGCTTCCTCGACCAATAACCCGCAAGAGCTGGAAATGGTCCAGGTTTAGCCTATCGCTCTCTGCAACATCTGATGCCTAGAGATAATGCAAGTAGACTGAGCATTTGGAAACCAACATGATGGTACTAAAAGATTTAGTAACATTCAAAAAACAAAGACTTAGTCTTAGTTGAGGTTTCATGATTTAGTAACATTCAACAAACAAAGACTTAGTCTTAGTTGAGATTTCATGATTTAGTAACATTCAACAAACAAAGACTTAGTTGAGGTCCGAACTTTACTGCTATCCGGTTTCCCCAAACTTGCTCTGTTCCTGTGCCAGTGATAGTCAAATGAAATTTCCCATATTTTCTCAATTAAAAAACTGGTGAACAATTAGTCCTGGAACAATCCAGAAATATGCGCACACAGTAAAATGGGTATTTCAGTTGCTAGAGGTGCCAAAGCTAATAGTCACCACCAGAAATCCAGTCTGTCATTGCTGGAAGTAGTTGGGCATGATAAGTCGGCTATACACACGTAGAATCATTACCTAATGTATTTCACCAGCTCACATGTAAACCAGCTACCTGCCATATTGAATACCACCACACAACTGCTGTACAAATGAAAGGCATTCTACATGAAAAACACAGCTCACAGGGCTGCACCAAGCACTAAACTCAGTAGTTCAAGCAGCAAAACCCAAAAAAAGACTGAGGTTAGAGTGAACATATCTGGCTAACCTTTAAACATTTATCTTTATAATCCAAGCTTGTAAACCACTATCACTGTTCCATTAAATACAATCTAGCCTGTTATAAATATGAGAATCACTGACAAAGTTAAGGTGTAAAGGTGGCAGGATCGACTTCACAGTACCGGATTTTATCCCATATGGCTCAGTCTCTCCAAGCAGAACAGCTAGCTGCCTGCCTACAGCATCACACAGAGCACGACATCCGTAGCTCTGGTAATTATCAACAGGAATCTCCATAAAAAATGCTCCCGTGAACTGAATGACGTTGCAGTGAAATGAACTCACGTGATAAGTTGATGACTATGAACGTGGATTCTGTTATCAACAAACTAAATGCACAAATAAATTCAATGAACAGGCAGATAGATTGACTGGATATGCACCATTAGGTGGCGAATTGATACATGACAAGGTAGATGTGGTCAAGGCCCTTTGGGAACAAGCAACGGGGTCAGAAGCGAAAAAAGATAATTATAACCTGGAGAGAATTAGGCACCTGGGTGTAACTAGGGGGCTGGCCGGCTCACTACACTCAGTAAAGGCAAGACGGACAAAAAATAAGATTACGACTAGTACCATTATTGTGTGAACTCTGCGCTTGCTGCTGAAGATGAGGATGAAGCACACATGGGAATGTCCTAAGTGCTGTGATGTCAATACTTGAATCAAATCAACTCAAATTATTTACATAACTAGGAAACTTAATGAGAATGAACGAACAAACAAACTATATTTTCAAAGGGTCACATATTGAGCATGCAGACCTGTCATAAATTAGGCCCTTCCAAAGACCCATATTTCACACAGAGGTAAAAAGAGAAAGATATCCACAGATAAAACTGAATATTTCAATTCATCTTTATGAATAACTAAAACAAGAAATCCGAATCCCAAGCCCCAGGTTTAAACAAGAAAGCTAGGCAAAAAGGAAAACAACAATTGTGTAATATAGTGACTTTATTTGTTCTTATACCGGCTTGACCGTACTCGTGCCCATTTTCAGCTTTCTGGTCCAATATGGCTGACAGGTAGCTGACCATAATAGTTCTAACATGTTATTTGCTACTGGCCATGGTCTGAGATAGCCGTTGTCTACATATGTAGCCTGAAAGTACATAGTTCTGTCCAGAAGTGGATGAAGAACCAGAACTTTCTGCCAGAGTTTACAGCTGGTGAACGCGAAAGAGAAGAAATGTAGCTTAGGTGTTTACACTTTGAGAATTGTGGGTCACCTGTTGCCAAATAACTGGTGATGCCCAATGCAATATTGCATGTGCAACTGCTGATTTGTTGTAACTGCCACTTCTGTCGATGACGAGAAGCAATTCTAGTGGCAGACTGCTGGTACTTCAGGCAGCTCCCTTATGCATTTAATCTATGTGCGTGTGCTGCTGGTTTGCCAGGACTGCAGATGCCTCGTCTGTTCCATAAGAGACAGTAACAGGCACTCTGTGCTGTTTCTGCTACCACAGGAGCAGAGCAATTAGAGGGGGATGCAATTTTCCATTGTCACAACTTTGACTAACATCTAGCACCTATTTTGAAAAACACTATTTGTTGAGTTGAGTCAAGAATTGATATCACAGCACTCAGGGCATTAACACGCATGCTCCGTCCTAATCTTGAGCAGCCAGTGCAGAGTTCCAATACTGATAGTACCGGTCACAATCTGGTTATATGTCCGTCTTGCCTTTCCTCTAAGTGTAGTGAGCCGGCTAGACCTTCTGTTTACACACAGGTGCTTTATTCTCTCCAGGCTATAATAATCTTCTTTCTCTACTGATTATGTTGCTTGTTCCCAAAGGGCCTTGACCAGATCTGCCTTGTTATGTATCAATTCACCACCCAGTGGTGCAGATCCAGCCAATCTGTCTGCCTATTATTTACCCACCATGCTGGCATGGCCTGGAGATGAAAAACACTTATATGCACACATACTAGGCATCAAGACAAGTGACTTACTTCAACCTTAGACATCTGTTCAGCAAAGCCAGCAGGACATGAGGAAACAAACAAAATAATATTAAATAGTTGGCAAAATTAACTATTTTAAATAGTTGGAAAAGTGGGTAGAGGCAGACCAAGAGAGATGATGCTGAATAGGCTGAAACCATAGCATCAAAAGAGCTGTTCCAGGCAACCAGGGATCGTGACCTGTGGAGACGCATGAGCGCCTACGGCAGTTGGCAGGGCACATAATGATGATGATGATGTGGCATTAGTCAAAAAACAACATGAATGAATAAAAACTAAAGACAAATCAATAAACAATGCATCTAAATATGCAGAAGGTGTTTATACATATATGCTTTAATGTATACATTTTTTTTAAAGTAAAAATGAAAACTGAAGGACTTTTTTGTTCATGCCATTGGTGCACCAGGGGTCACTATGGTGTGTCTGTGAGACGCTGTGTTGTAGCAATGAGACGTTATGGTGTGTCTGTGAGACGCTGTGTTGTAGCAATGAGACTCTATGGTGTGCTTGTGAGATGCTGTGTTGTTGCAATGAGACGCTATGGTGTGCCTGTGAGACACTGTGCTGTGGCAATGAGACGCTATGGTGTGCCTGTGAGATGCTGTGTAGTAGCAATGAGACGTTATGGTGTGTCTGTGAGATGCTGTGTTGTAGCAATGAGACGCTATGGTGTGTCTGTGAGACACTGTGCTGTAGCAATGAGACGCTATGGTGTGCCTGTGAGATGCTGTGTTGTAGCAATGAGACGCTATGGTGTACCTGTGAGATGCTGTGTTGTAGCAATGAGACGTTATGGTGTGTCTGTGAGATGCTGTGTTGTAGCAATGAGACGCTATGGTGTGTCTGTGAGACACTATGGTGTGTCTGTGAGATGCTGTGTTGTAGCAATGAGACGTTATGGTGTGTCTGTGAGACACTATGGTGTGTCTGTGAGATGCTGTGTTGTAGCAATGAGACGTTATGGTGTGTCTGAGACACTATGGTGTGTCTGTGAGACACTATGGTGTGTCTGTGAGACACTATGGTGTGTCTGTGAGACACTATGGTGTGTCTGTGAGACACTGTGGTGTGTCTGTAAGATGCTGTGTTGTAGCAATGAGACGTTATGGTGTGTCTGTGAGATGCTGTGTTGTAGCAATGAGACACTATGGTGTGTCTGTGAGACACTGTGTTGTAGCAATGAGACGGTATGGTGTGTCTGTGAGACACTGTGTTGTAGCAATGAGACGTTATGGTGTGTCTGTGAGACACTATGTTGTGTCTGTGAGATGCTGTGTTGTACCAATGAGACGTTATGGTGTGTCTGTGAGACACTATGGTGTGTCTGTGAGATGCTGTGTTGTACCAATGAGACGTTATGGTGTGTCTGTGAGACACTATGGTGTGTCTGTGAGATGCTGTGTTGTAGCAATGAGACGTTATGGTGTGTCTGTGAGATGCTGTGTTGTAGCAATGAGACGCTATGGTGTGTCTGTGAGACACTGTGTTGTAGCAATGAGACACTATGGTGTGTCTGTGAGACACTATAGTGTGTCTGTGAGACACTATGGTTTGCCTGTGAGATGCTGTGTTGAAGCAATGAGACGTTATGGTGTGTCTGTGAGACGCTGTGTTGTAGCAATGAGACACTATGGTGTGACTGTGAGACACTGAGTTGTAGCAATGAGACGGTATGGTGTGTCTGTGAGACACTGTGTTGTAGCAATGAGACATTATGGTGTGTCTGTGAGACACTATGGTGTGTCTGTGAGATGCTGTGTTGTACCAATGAGACGTTATGGTGTGTCTGCGAGATGCTGTGTTGTAGCAATGAGACGCTATGGTGTGTCTGTGAGACACTATGGTGTGTCTGTGAGATGCTGTGTTGTAGCAATGAGACGTTAAGGTGTGTCTGTGAGACACTATGGTGTGTCTGTGAGATGCTGTGTTGTACCAATGAGACGTTATGGTGTGTCTGTGAGATGCTTTGTTGTAGCAATGAGACGCTATGGTGTGTCTGTGAGACACTATGGTGTGTCTGTGAGACACTATGGTGTGCCTGTGAGATGCTGTGTTGTAGCAATGAGACGTTATGGTGTTTTGTGAGACGCTGTGTTGTAGCAATGAGACACTATGGTGTGTCTGCGAGCTGCTGTGTTGTAGCAATGAGATGCTTTGGTGTAGCAGCGAGATGTTTGCTGCAGAGCCAAATATTTTTTTTTCAAAAATGACATTCGCTCCCAAGTTGACCGCAGCCTTTAGGAGTACCTTAAAGGGTTACTGATGGCAAACTGCAAGGACATCAGTCCTTCTTTGAGCTTGTCAGGGTATTTTGAAGGAATTGAAAGGGCAGCTGCCTTTCAATGTATTTTTTTAAGGAACCAAGGGTCACTACGAGCCCAAACAACTGCCTAGATCTGAATTTTATTCTCTTTATTCTGCATCTGGCTGCTCTGTATGACGTCCAATTTATGCTCTAAGTTGTCTGCTCTTTCATCTAGCCCCTAATGTTGCAGCACGCTCGCCGTGGATCGGAAGGTCATGGGTTTGCTCCCCGGTGAAGCCGAACTTTTTTCAAAAATGACCTTGGCTCCAAGTTCAACCCAGCCTAGAGTGGGTACCGGGTGCAGTCCCGGGGAGTAAAGGCAGCCGGCATGTTGCTGACCACGTCACACATGTGTGCCGACTGGTGTATAAAATGTAGGTCTAGCCCTACATGCCTAAAGGTGTGGAAAAGGGTCCTTTACTTCTTTTTTTTTTTTACTTACTTAATGTTGCGGTTGCCCGTGGTCAGTGACAGGTATCAAACATGTGTTTAGTTACAGAATGAAAACATGTCATTAGTAGTTGGGGTAGGAAGAAAGGCAAATAACTGGTGACCTTACGGCCAAGCCCACTTACCTCACTGCCATATTCTACAGGACTGTTCACTGAGGCTCTACCATCTGAAAAGATAGCGTAAATCATTGCCATTGAAGAAAAAACCTATGTTTATGTTGAGGGTCTGTGTGGCTATGAGATGGTGGTGTATGATGGTGAAAAGTGGACTTGAACTTAGCTGACCGTTTAGCGACCGCGTGTTCAACAGCCCATGGAGACTTCAACCAGACTAGCATGACGGTTGAACTAATCTTTCCCAGGTCCCCAAGGCTCTCACAGGCTCTGAGTTGGGAAACGGACTCAAGCGACAGAGAAACAGGTTTTATTTGGGGGGGGGGTTTGTCAGCAAGACTCGGACAGAGACTTGTGGTGTTTTAACCGATAGATGTTTCCATTATTTAAGTTAGCGCAGGTACTTTATGGTAACATGTTAGCTTGACTTAAGTCAAATGTGGAAACATTCAACGGCAGTAAGCAGGTCTCTAAAAGTTTAAATATTTGTAGCTAACAATGTGAAGACTGGGAGTAAAGATCAGCACAACCAGGCATGAGAGGCTTATTGGACATACAGGAAGTCGAACGCACAAACAAACTTTATTTTCAAAGGGTTACAAATTAGGCACGCAGGCCTGTCTTACATTCGGCCCTTTCAAACTCCCATCTTTCACACAGTAGTTGCATCTTATCAATAAAGCATGTTATGTTCATGTAATAATATGCATATTATGAATATTAAGTCAAAAACAAAAGCAAAAGCATGGGTGGTAAAATATGTGCGCACGCTCGCGCGCAAACAAACACACCCACATACACATGCAAACCCATTCACTCACTCACACACATAGGCACCCAATACACACGAACACGCACACACACATACATACATATATACACACACACACTCATACACACAGTCACACACTCTAAAACACACACACATACAACCAAGACAAAAACAGATAGTCACACAAACACATACATACACATACGTAGTCGGACAAAAAGACCCATACAAACACAGACACCGGCGCACACAGACATAAACCCCACACAGACACACACACATGCAGTCAAGTCAGCCAGCACAGGACTGCCATTATTAAAAACCATGGGACTCTGATATGTATGCTAAAGGGGGAGTCTGAGCACCTGTGGATGTTTCTGGAGTGCTGTGAAGATTATGTGACTCGTAACATCTGATAATCTGCACAAAAAGTTTTTTTTTTTTTTTAATTTAGCTGTGTATCTTTCACAGGACAATGCAGAATCAACCCCATAATTTTGTGGTTGTTGTGGTTGTCTAGGCAATTTTACCTCCAGTAGTTTGCCACTGCTTTCTGGGCGGTCAACTTCTCAATACCACTGTCGAAACCAAAGCAAGGCCTGCAGCTGGGATCGAACCGAGCACCCCGGCATTACAAAGCAGGTTCGCAACACCTAAGCCACATAGGCCAACATAAAAAGAATAGGGAGGTGAATTATGCACAATCAGAAGACTAATGAGAAATTATGTGGAAGCTGCATAGACCTGGTTTTAAAGAAGAATAAAGAGAACACTGCTTCTTCTTTCATCAGCATGCTTGAGAATATCCAGAACTCTCGCCTAAAAAAAAACTAGCTTGGTTGTACAACCAGGATATGCCGGGATGAAGGATAATGAGTTAAGTCAAGAACTGACATCACAGCACTCCGGGCATTCGCATGTGTGCTCCGTCCTCATCTTCAGCAGCCAGCACAGAGTTCCAATACTGATGGTATCAGTCACAATCTGGTTATATGTCCGTCTTGTCTTTCCTCTGAGTGTAGTCAGCAGGCCAGACCCTCTGGTTACACTCACTCTCTCCAGGCCATAATAATCTTGTTTCTCTACTGATTCTGTTGCTTCTTCCTAAAAGCATTGACCACATCTGCCTTGTTATGTGTCAATTCACCACCCAGTGGTGCAGATCCAGCCAATCCGTCTACCTGTTCATTACCACCACGCCAGCAAGGAAAATGAAAAAGTTAATAGACTGGCCATGTCTGCAGTGGTTGGTGAAAAAAGAAGACAGGGCTGATATACTGAATGCACTGCGCTCCAGAGCTGCTGCAACAAAGAAGTCAGTGATAATGAACCACCAGAGGGTCTTAAAGCTTTAGACAGTAGCCTCCGCAAAGGCTAAGCCGGTGACAAAATGCCAGAGGAAGTGAGACATGTTGACAGAAAGGTAATGATACAACTACGTCATTCGTGCAGGACTGCAAACATGCCCACTCTACCTACAACTTCGAAAAGACACCCGGCCTCAAAAGCAAAGTGCGTAGAGCAAGCTATGGGAAAGCATGAAGGACCTGCTAATAACATGCAAGTTCATAGAAGCAACCCACCTGATGGTCTGATCTGAGCATACTGAATCGAACTCAAAGACGAAGAAGATTCGGACGAAAACAAGAACATAGCAGACTGGAAGGGACAAATCAACTGATCGGAAACCTTCCAAACATATACAGAAATCTTACTGAATTACGTACCTTTTGAATGTCCATTTGGAGATTTTGATTTTTCTGCAGACACTGTTTCATTGTTCTGTGGCGAGGGTTTCAACTCTGACACATCCTGACAAACAAAGAGAAGGCAATTATGCATTTTGCAGCTTTTACAATAAGATCTATTTAATACAAATTTCAAAGGATCAAGCACTAAATCAGTGTTTTAAAAAAAAACAAATGCTAACCGGTGACTCAGTCTCTCCTCTTGAGCCTAAGGCGGCGTGTAGGGCAGAGGCCATAGCTCTCCATGTCTGGTGGTTTGTTTGCCACCTTTTTAGGTCTTGGATGTTCATTCGGTCCATGGTTGAGCAGACCAAGAGAGACGCTACGTAGAACCATTATCAAGGAACTCTGAATTACCAGATTACCAGTTCCTCGATGATGGTTCTATGCAGCGTCTCTCTAGGTCTTCCCCATTTTCTTTTCCCTTCCAGTGTCCATATGAGGGCTTGAAGGGGGAGTCTTGTCTTATCCATTCTGAGTGCATGGCCGATGTATTCCGAAAGCGCTTTCTTATAAAGACTAGATACCTTATCTTGCTTGGTATCTTGTCTTATCTTGTCTTATTTGCATACTGGATGTGAAATCTGTCCAGTGGAGATTAAGTATTCTTCTAAAACACTGGTTCTCAACCTTCCTAACATGGCAACCCTTTAATGCTTCCGCTCATGTTGTGGCGACCCCTAATCATACCATTTTTTTTTGTTGCTACATCATAACTTCAGTGAATATGTGTTTTCCGATGGTCTTTGGTGACCCCTGTGAAAGCGTTATTTGACCTACAAAAGGGTCGCGACCCACAGCTTAAGAATTGCTGTTTTAAGATATCTGATCTCAAAATTGTCTATTTTTTGTTGTTGTATCTAGTTACTGTTGCTTTAAGCAGCGACCGGCCGAACTGTTAGAACACTGGACTCTCACGCTGGAGACCCGGGTTTGGATCCTCGATAAGGCTGAGGATTTCTTTCTGTCGTGGGCAAAATAAAATCCTCACTTGCAGTTGTGACAACTGCGCTAGCCAGGTGGTTGTACATTCTCAGGCTCAAAGACCTCCTGCCTTCACCGCAAAAGTGGTAAAAACAATGGCAGTAACTGGCAGCTGACTGTAACTTTCTAACTCTCGCATCCACAAAAGAACTGACTAATAATAATATATCCATGCAGAGATCAAAACTGTATCCATGTTAACCGTATGTTTTTCTTCAGCAGGTGTACAAAGGTTTCCTGTAATTACATATTTATATACTACAATTCTACTTTAGTTGATGCACCTGGGTGTGACCAGAGGGTCCGGCTGGCTCACTGCACTCAAAGGAGAGGCTAGATGGACATATAACGAAACTGCGAGCGGTACGATTAATAATGGAACTCTGCACTGGCTGCTGAAAATAGGTACAGAGCACAATTGAGAATGCTCCAGTGATGTGATGTCGATTTTTGACTCAACAAATCAACTCAATTCTACTTTAGCTATGAAGTGAATGGTTCAATGTGCAGCGAAGATGCTCTATCAACATACCTCAGGGGCTCCACAAGCCCTCTTGTACACTTTGTGACAGCGTTTGTGAACTGTGACTCTGCACTGAATGCACTTATAACCTTGCCGGCCCAGCCCCCAGATCCTGTCCTGGCACAAGGCACATACAGCTTTCTGAAAACAAAGCAAAATCGTTTAAGCATTCCACATTATACAATTGTGCATATAGGAAATTTGCATTGAAATTTTCACTAAGATGACGTAATCTTTGGAACAAGTCACGAAGTCAGGCCCAAACAAACTGTGGTAGTAGTTTCATTTATGCTTAGTGACCCTTCCCATGCACTAGAGAAATTAGCTTAAATCGTTGGTGGCATTCTTGACCCAACTTCCACAGCACACAGGCGGCCTAACGCCTTTTCTGTCAACTCTATAAGTATCTATAAGGAAAGTCTCTGTTTCACCCAGGAATTTCAGTAGAGCATGGGTAAGTCATACTTTAATATAACTTAATTAACTAAGTTATTTTTCCCTGCTACTGGGAGCAAGACCAATGTGGCTGTGGAAACCTCACTGATTTTACCGCTCAATGTCTCTAACTGCAGGAACGCTCTAACCAGAGTTTTACCTACATGTCGATGAAAGATATTTCTTTTATTCCTTCATGTATCGTCCAAACAGCTTGGAATTAAAGTATCCATTCTGACATGATTTGATCCTGCTTTGTTTATGTGTGGAAATATAACAGGGGAGAAAGGCTTTCTGATCAGGGTGACCTAGATAGCAGTTTTGAGTCGACAGATCCGAGACAAGGTTTATGAATTACCTTTGGGCGGGTTAGCCGATGTCAACAATATTTGTCTTGGACTTTTACGCATTCTTTACTTGAAGATTCCTCGATCCTAAGTGCGCATTTATTGGTACAGGTATTCTATAATTGATACAGAACGTTCGATTTCACTCTTTTAAATTGGTAGGCGCAGTCTAACGCAGCTGCCAGTGTGGAAGTATTAGGCAGAGCAACGATTCCTATATATCCTTGTTTGCTAAATGACCTATATATATATATATAGAAATATATATATATACACACACAGGGATATATATAGACCTGTCAGGTCTATAAAGGCCCAGCACCGTGATCTAAGCATTCGATACTGATTGATGTACTGTGGATGAATGGTCGACAGCACACAGTGTTTAATGGTTTGCTAACTCTTGTTTCCATTGTGTTTGCAGGATGTATACTGACTTCTCTGGAGGCTTGGTCAGAATCTTAGTCCAAATATCCCAACCATTATCAATCAGTGCATCCAGATACAAGATATCAGCCAACCCCTAACCAGTTCCAGTGTACAAATACCTGTTGGTACATGATGCCTGTCACTTTGGTGATACTCGGAGAGGTAATTTATGGTATCGCACTTACCAGATGTCAACTGATGCACATCCATCATCATCAAGTGCCACCAACCCAGCGTCTATTCTAGACATATCTTTGCCAGCCAAAACATGAAAGAGATAATTATATGCTGTTTTTGAACATTATGTGTGTAAGAGGGAATCTATCCCTATCTATATCAGATCAACAGTAAATCTATTATTAGATATCATACATCCAGTGACAATTTTATCCAAGAACTACTGCCAACCATGTGGTTCAATACTTTGAATCGTGCCTGTTTTCATAGAAACTGAAGAGAGGAGCAATTTCATCTTATGTTTTTTTAAAGCAAGATTGACTTAAAATGTTCCCATAAGCCTCACTGGTAAAGGTCATGGGGTCGCAGGCATGAGTCCTCCTATACATATATGATTTAGGCCCCAGGAAATGCCAGCCATTTTTAGCTGTCATGGGACAAAAGGGTTCCAGGAAAAACACTTACTCTTGAGAAACGTTTTGCTTGATACAAGTGGCCATTAACCCTGTACAGCTTGCGCCATCTGCGTGCTCCCCTCCTGTACATGTTTCCTGATAAAAAGATATTCAATTAGATAAATACATTCAAAACAACCTTTTCCCCATTGTCAGTTTTTTTTCTTAATGAGAAAAAAATAAAATTAAAGATTGTTGTGTGCTCTTTAAGAGTTTGGGTTTAGTTTTTTTTTCGGCACATTTAAGATCTCTTTACACTTGATGTTCAGATCTTTTTGCATATCAGAATTTTTGTTGGGAGGGGGGGGGGTGGTTTGGAGAATCTTTCTACAGCGTTTCAGTTCAAAAGTCCCTGTTTTCTTCAACGACAAGTTTCTTGGGATAATGTGGTGATATCTTGGCTGTGAAAATATGTGAGGCAGGGGAAATCACAGAAGACAAGGGCATGAAGATGGACACTTAATATTGCAAACATCTTGGCTAGGAAAATACATCAGGCAATTACTGATTTAAGACTCGACATCATAGCACACCGGGCATACCCACAGATGCTCCATCTCCCCATCAAATGATGTAAAATGCAAATGCTAACTGTTCCCCTAGCACACTAATTTAACACATGCTGATCTCTTCCTCTCATCCGTCCCTCCCTGCCAGATCCATTTTTAATTCCTCGTTTAAACATTTTTGCCCATGTTTTTTCATCTAATCTCCTGTCTTTTGCAGAAAGTCGTTCATATTTGGTCTTCAGAATATCTCCCTTGTCCAATATGAGTGTGCCTATAGCTTTCAATTTTGTAGCCAGAAAATCCCCTCTTGCATTCCCTCACATGTGGATTCATGTGGTTCCCTGCACTGTTGGCGTACTGATGCATGGTATCCACTCATGCCACATTAGTCCATTTTGAACCTTCCGCAATGCCAACTGAGAATCAGACACAATAACTCCTCTGGTAACTTTGTTTTCTGCTATCCACTTCAGAGCTGCAGTGGCTTTTTCAAGTGCTAATGGACTCCCGTATGATTTCTGAGAATATCGGACACATCTTAGAAGTGCTATTCTGCAGAGAGGTTGCCACAACTGATGAGCTCTGACAAAATGAACAAATACTCAGGACGAACAATGAAGACATACAACAAGTGGAACTTACTGTCTTCCCCAATACAAGGAAGTCCAGGTCTTTCGGGCACATTGGGAAAAACTGCACAAATAAAACCAAATACACAATATCACACTGTTCTTTTTAAATTTACAAGCAGAAAACATTGTTTTGAAATTTATCTTCTTGTCTTCTCTTCCACCTTGTACTTCAGCGAAGTGTCGGGGGAAGATGTAATGTTCGCTGATGAGCTCTGTCAAAAGCACTATTAAGATTGATGTTCATTTTTGTAAGACTGTTTTTTATGCCATCAATCTACGTTTTACGAGGTCTTTCTCACGCACTATACCCGTTGTAACGTTTCATGTGCCTCACTGTGGTAAATAGTACCAAGGCATTCTTGTTAGGTGTCCAAACCACTTCATTTGTTTTCTTTAAAGACCTGTAAGACTGGCTTTATTCCAAGCATTCGTCTGATTTCCTGATTTAATATTCTCTTTGCTGCAGCTCTTCTAAGACATTTCATCTTCGTTGTCACAATTTTACGTTCATTAAAGGATGCAAGTGTCCAGGTTTGACACTGAAAGCATAGTGTTGGCCAAAAAATAGTTCTTATAAGATTCTCTTTAGTACTCCGGGGTATCTGCTTGTGTGTCAACAGGGGAGATTGTTCCGCCAGTACCTGATAAACTTTGATACATCTCGAGCTAATTTGTCCAGTTTGTGAAAATTGCTCAAAAATACTTGAATTTCTATGTTTGTCTGAAGGCTTTGATTTACATAATTGTTTATAAATAAATTTGTAAATATTGTGTGGTTGGACATGGGCAGGAAGGGAGTGGGGGGAGGGTATACATTTCCACATAGGAATTGCTACATAGGAGATTGGCATCCAGCGAATAAATAGCCACTATATGGACAGGAATCAAGCAAATCCCACAAAGTATCCAATTTCACCTCTTAAAACCTGATGGCCTCATTGAGTTCAATCTGAGAAGATATGGTGCAAGAGTCCCCTGTGAAGCATGAGCAATATCAGTTTACACTCTATCTCTGCACAGATAACTCATAGATTTCATGCAAATGGACAAACAACCAGGACTTTCCGTCACAGCTCACTGCTGGTGAATGAAGAAGAAAGAGAAGTCTCCTTCTAATGTGGGTAACCAGTTCTCTTTGTGAGCCTGTTTATGTCAAGATTTTCTAGATTTATCTAATTTTTTAACACAGATATATAAGGGTACCCGGCAGTTACAAAGTATCCAGCAGTCTAATGTTGGTGGATATACATAATTCATCTTAAACCTAAACTATTACAAATGCAACATTTTTTATCACGTTGAGCAGCCCACAATGAGAGTGACTTCCCTTCCCATTTATGCCTCGATATGGTGTAGCACTTGCACTATGTCGCACAACTGTATGCAGCATATAAAAGAGGCTACATACAGTCATGGGACATAGGCTGAGGTTATGCAGAGGGGGGTTGGGGTTAGGCCCAGTTGTACGTGTTTTGGGAAGGTTAAAAGCTCACAGTATAGAAGACGCGATATCGCCAGCAACAAGGAGTTAACTAAGGAAAACACAGTTTTGAAACACATAATTGTTTACAAATAAAATGACCAGAACTGGCTAAGTGATTCCTCTGTGGCTTTCGCTTGTATGTGTCATTGATCAGATAGGTCTCTGCCTAAATTTCTTGTTTCCTGACTGCAACTTCCTCATGTGCCAACTCTACAATGAAGGTCGCCTGAAACTAATCTCCATGTCTTCTTTTTCTGCTGTGTTTGCTATTTGAAAAACAAAAATAAAGCAGCAGTTGGCACATTGTGTTTTACAGCTAGGCTGTGATATCTGCACTTGACCAATTTTGAAAAATTCTATCAAAAACTTGATCTTTGACAATACTACTCACTCACCATGTATGTTGAGTTCTGTATCCTTGTTCACCTCATACAACCTGATGGCCTCATTGAGTTCAATCTGAGAAGATATGGTACAAGGGTCCCCTGTGAAGCATGAGAAATATCAGTTTACACTCTATCTCTGCATAGATAACTCATAGATTTCATCTCTTATGATTAACAGTAATCAGATTGCAAAATCCCTGTGTGGGTTCCAGGGCCCTATTATAGGGAAAACAATAATAGACCCACTGCCTACCCAAAAGTATGTCGTAAGAGTCGACTAATTGGGAGCTTCCTTTAAAGTCAGAGTGCATCTGCCTGTGAGGCTAGGAACCAACAGTCTGCACATAAAGTAGTCAGATCTGTCAAATGGATGCACATGCAACACTCAGGTTCTGGAACAGGACTGCAGTCCAGAAGTGGACGAACAACCAGAACTTTCCGCCAGAGTTTACAGCCGGTGAACGCAAAGAAGAAAAATAAGAGTGCAAAAGTTAGCAAGACTAGGTCAATTTTTATGAGGTTAGCAGAACAGTTCTCTTCCCGGTAAACTGTTCATTTCCAAACTAAAAATGAAAATGAACTAAATTATATTAGTTATGTAATGAAACCCTGAGAGCCGCAGTGGTCGAGCGGCTAGATGCTTTCCTGTAGATCAGAAGGTCGTGGGTTCGGTTCCTGACAGGGGTGCCAGACTTTTTTTCAAAAATGACTTTGGCTTTCATGTCAACCCAGCCTTGAGTGGGTACCGGGTAGAGTCCTGGGAAGTAAAGGTGGCCAGCATGATGCTGACCACAACATCCACCAAATGCTGTTATGTCTATAAAATATCGGCTAGCCCTATATACTCAATTCACCTGAAAGGCATGAAAAGGGGTCTTTTACTTTACTTGTAATGAAACCCTGGAATGATGAACTAAAAAAGAAGTAAAATACAGTCAGGTTTAAACTACACATGAACTGCACTTTCTTCAGAAAACAGAAGTAGTTTGTCAAGAAAAAAAATCAGTGGTTTAGAAAGCAGTTATAGAAAGCTGGTTCATGGAAGATGAAGTAACAATCAGTTACTGCACTTATGGAAAGCTGGTTAATGGAAGACTTCCAGGCAGGCAGTCAGTTACTGCACTTAGGTAAAGTTGGTTAATGGAAGACTTCCAGGTAGGCAGTTAGTTACTGCACTGAGGGAAAGTCGGTTAATGGAAGTGAAGCAGCAATCAGTTACTGCACTTATGGAAAATTGGTTAATGGAAGACAAAATAGCAATCAGTGACTGCACCGATGGAAGATAAAACAACAATTTATCCCTAGACTATACATACATACATACATACATACATACATACATACATACATACATACATACATACATACATACAGATGAGAGTCAAACAGGCACAAATCCCGAAATATGTGTTCAACCGTATAGAAAGCACAATAGGCCATCACAGAACGGTTACGAAGTAACACATAGTCCAGCTTAGTTGTGTCTGTTACAATGTTAAGTAAGCTGCAGTGATAGATTAAGTAGGATAAGCTAACAGTAACAGCAGTAGCTGTAAGTTGTTACGACTAGATTAGTAGTAATTAATGTAATCCATGCAAATTCTAAAACGATTTACTTTAGATAGTTTGATCTTCCACGCAACAGCGAAAGGTAACCCACTTTGATAACAGAAGATCAAGAACCCTTCCAGCTTCTCCCCCTTATTTCTGTGTGAAACGTTAGGCTAGTGATCCTGTCATACCTTTTTATTCTTCCTCTTTTGTGCGAATCACCAGTTTACGAATGGTCATAGTTCATAAGTAATCATCATCAATTATCTTTATGCCTAGAGGCACATGAGGCTTCAGAGAGGACTGTCTATGCTTTCCTGTCCTGTGCAATCTTCAGTGCAGTTTTCTGATGTCGCACCAGGTCACTTTCCATCGTTCGTCCACATGTTGTTTTTGGGTGCCTCTGGTATCCACGTGAGAGTTGTTTTGGCAGGTATATCAGGATTCATTCTCATTACGTGGCTAAGCCATTTCCACCTTTATTTGGTTATCATACTTTTTAAAACACAATGGCTTGAATCAATACAGAAGTCCACAGTGCGTGGAGTCACATTTATTTTTGTTCCGGGACACGCAGGCGTCGATAGAAATGAAAGAGCTGTCAGGTTGGCTGGATCCGATATCACTACCGACGGTAAGCCTATGGATCATGCTGATATTATCAATGCCCTCAGAGAAATGGGAAGGATAGAGGACTTTGGTGCCAGTGAATCCACATCACTCGCCAGAATGGCAGACTTGGGAATTAAGATCGGCACAGCAAAAAACGAGACGCACACCAGACACGCTAGAAGACTTGTTAATCAACATAGAACTGGTACTATTAGCCATCGGACGTTGGGGTTCATACTGAGGGGAGGATCTGAGCACCTATGGACATGTCCGGAGTGCAATGAGGATAACCCAACTAACTAACTAACTAACTAACTTATCCCTAGACTTTACTGCTGGACACTATATTCTAAGTATGTACACTATATCCCTAGATTTTACTGCTGGGCACTATGCACTAAGTATGTATACTACATCCCTTGACTTCAACACTGTACATGATACACTCATTATGTATACTACATCCCTAGACATAACCTCTAGACACTACTGTATGCACTCATTATTTATACTATATCCCTAGACCTAACCTCTAGACACTACTGTATGCACTCATTATGTATACTATATTCCTAGACACTACTGTGTGCACTCATTAAGTATAGTATATCCCTAGACTTAACCTCTAGACACTACTGTATGCACTCATTATGTATACTATATTCCTAGACACTACTGTGTGCACTCATTAAGTATAGTATATCCATAGACTTAACCTCTAGACACTACTGTATGCACTCATTATGTATACTATATTCCTAGACCTAACATCTAGATACTACTATATGCACTCATTATGTATAGTATATCCCTAGACCTAACCTCTAGACACTACTATATGTACTCATTATGCATACTATATTCCTAGACCTAACCTCTAGACACTACTGTATGCACTCATTATGTATAGTATATCCCTAGACCTAACCTCTAGACACTACTATATGCACTCATTATGTATACTATATTCCTAGACCTAACCTCCAGACACTACTATATGCACTCATTATGTATACCATATCCTTAGACCTAACCTCTAGACACTATGCACTCATCAAATATAGTGTATACTTACAGTTTCATTTTTTATTTTAGTCTAAACCCTGGAGAATAGTAAATGCACAAACCATGCATACCATTTCCCTGGTCTAGTGAGTCTACACAAACAACAGAATCGTGACAGCCTACCTTCCTCATCTATCCATTTCACAGTGAAAGGCTGGGCATCCTCAAATTTGCAGATGTCTCTAATCTCCACACAAAAGTCTGTGTATCTGACATCATTTTTTATGCAGGTCACCAGAATATTGCTACAAAAAAAATTGATGAGAACAAGTTGTACTGAAAATACTGAGGTGTAAATTTTCTAGTTTTTTGTGTTCGCTGGCTGTAAGCTGCTGTGGAAAGTTCTGGTTGTTCATCCACTTCTGGATTTCAGTCTTGTTCCAGAACTTGAGTTTACCGTGCACATCCGTATTGTAGATCTGTCTTATTTGTATATATAATAAACAAACAGACAATGTACTGATTGGCACTCGAAAGCTATAACTACTGTGCTGGGAATCGAACCCGCCACCTCCAAATGATGTGGGCGCCTCGCTATGGTAAACAAGTCCACTAAGAACATGACCAATAAAAAGGTGTCTTATTTGTATGCACGGTTCCTCGCCTCTCAGGCTGATACACTGACTTTGAATAAAACACCTAATTCAAGATCAGCTCCAGCTGACAGGCCATGCTGCTGACATCATCAACCCGGGCTAACTATACGTTAATGCAGCATTCCTCAAACTATTTTCGTCGGGCTTAAAAAAAAATATTTGTGGTAAACCTACCCTTAAAGCAGTTTGAATACTTAAGAGAAGAAGAAAAAAAAACAGTGCAATTTTATGTCATATTTGGAAAAATTCTTGATTATTGCTACAGCACCCCTGACATACACTCACGGTACCTCTGGGAGCTGAGGCACATAGTTTGAGAAACACTGTGTTAATGTATCGTTAGCCCGGTTTGGTGACAGCAGCAACAGGCCACCAGTTGAACCACCCTGACCTAAGGTGTTTATGTGAAAACAAAAAGTCACCAGTCTGTGTCACAGTAGTGCTAAATTACATGAGCAACCAGTCTAATGAAAATCCTCTTAGTCATTTCTCGTTATGTGAATGGTAGGCTGGTTGAGTTGAGTTAAGTCAAATTTTGACATCACAGAACTTAAGGCATTCCAATGCAAGCTCTGCCCTTATCTTCAGCAGCCAGCGCAGAGTTCTAATACTGATGGTACAGGTCAAAATTTGGTTGTATGTCCGTCTTGCCTTTCCTCTGAGTCTAGTGACCCTCTGGTTACACACAGGTGCCTCATTCTCTCCAGGCCATAGTCATCTTCTTTCTCTACTGATTCCCTTGCTTGTTTCCACAGGGCCTTGACCACATCTGCCTTGTCGTGTATCAATTCACCACCAAGTGGTGCAGATTCAGCCGATCTGTCTGCTTGTTCTTTACCCACCCCGCCGGTATAGCCTGGAGAAAAGATCCAAAGTATGCTCACTACCCGTGACCTTCTCAGTTAAGCTTGCCACTCTGCTCGAAGCATCCCTGTCCACACTTTTCTCAGTATGCTTTCACAATCTGTTACAATTACAACATGTTCTCTAGCCACCTGAGAGCTGCAGTTACCACCTCCACCTCCATTCTCATGCTAGATGTTTTGGTAGGTTGGTATAACTATTCTTTGCTTGCCACACAAGAAGAAGAATATGAAGAAGAAGAGCAAATACAAACATATATTCAAATAAATTAGTAACAAATATGGTACCCATTGTATCCAACTTTGAGGCGAACAGCATTTTCCCACTCCTCACTGTTGATGGTTGGCATCCTTGGTGCTGTGATCATTGGAGGAAAATAACATTTTGATTTTAAAAGCTTGAACAAAATATGGAAAACTAATTTGTTTCATTTTAAAAACAAGTTATGCTATTTCAATTTCTACACTTGCCAGGTCCTTAAGAAAGAAAATAGAAAAGTTATAGAAAGATTCTCAGAATATCTTGGACAAAGAAGAGGAAAAATACTGACATCTTAAAAGATCTGATCATCAAGGAGGATTGGCTAATAAACAGCACCCTGTTTCAGAAGCTGAAATATTTTGGTCATATCAAGCGCCACAACAGATTGGAGAAAATAATAGCAAAAGGCATGGTACCAGGAAGGAGGGGCAGGGGCCAACCAACACAAAGATGGGCACAGGATATAAGTGACTCCTTGAGTATGAAAGTACATGAGGCAGGAGAGCTGGCGAGAGACTGAGTTTCAGGCAGACTGTGATGAGAGCAATTTCTGCAAAGGACCTGCTACATGATGATGATGACATATGCCAGTGACAGGTGGAGAACCAGTAAAAACATGGGAGAAAAATTAAATGCATTTGAAAACAAATGCCTCAGGAAAATGTTGAATATAAAAGAGGGTGAATTTGAGAAGAGTTCATAAATAAGATAAATGTGTGGTAACTACATTTACTTTATAACTACAGTTATAAGGGGCTCTTTGGAGAAGCTGTCAAGCCATTTGTCTCACGCTCTGAAGGTGGCGGGTTTGTTTCATGGCTGTGGCGTTCCCTGGGGATCATCACCGGAGCTATGAAGGTGGATGTGGTCAAGGCCCTTTGGGAACAAGCAACGGAACCAGTAGAGAAACGAGATTATAATGGCTCACTACACTCAGAGGAAAGACAAGATGGACATACAACCAGATTGTGACCTGTACCATCAGTATTGGAACTCTGCGCTGGCTGCTGAGGATGAGTGCGGAGCACACATGGGATGCCCTGAGTGCTGTGATCTCAAATCTTGACTCACCTCACCAGAGCTACGGAGGTCGTGCTCTGTGCGACACTCTCGTCAAGCAGCTAGCTGTTCTGCAGAGAGAGACTGAGACACTTGTGATGAAACCTGGGGCAATTAAGTTGATGCTCTCACCTTTAGCTTCAAAGTTATAAGACAAAGATGATGGTGATATACTGAATACACTCTGAGAAGAAACAAGCAGAGAATCAGTAGACAGGCAGTGAAGTCGGAAATAAATATACTGATCCTAGGACTGATTAAACGAGGAAATCCTTTAAAAAAAAGGTTACATTGTTTATTTGACGGATCAAAATCCTGGCACACAGGTGTAACCCATAAGTGCTCCGTTCTACTTCTAACTCAAGCCTGAGTCTGAAGAATCTCAGCGTAGTGCACAAACTCCACTGCACCGGCGAGGATCCTGAAATACTTTTGGTAGATTTTGTTACCTCTGAATTTTAGCCAGGCAGCACTGTTAGGCTGCTCTTTTTGATTTCCAACTGCCAATGGATTTTTTTTACGTGCGCTAGAATACACACGGGTGTCCAATCTTAGTACCCAAAGACCAGAGGAAATTACTAGAAGTTCACGTGAAAAAATCCCAACCCTCACCGGGGCTTAAACCCGGGACCTCCAGCACTCGAGGCGAACACCATACCTTGAAAACACTCAGCAAAAAAAGCCTTAAACAAATGCTAATGACAGAGGCAAAAGGTGTTAGACTGAATCCCATCCATGATATTGAAGGGAACGTACAAGATATATTGGAATAGCAGAATAGATCATATATGAGCCCTATGTGACATACAATGGCATAACAGGGCAATGATGATGAAGGTTTTGGTTTGTATATACACAAGAAAAGCTTGCATCTAACAAAGATTCACAGGGTCAATGTCTGAGTAGTTGATGGGATATGTGTTAGTGCAAGAGCAAGCTTATATGTTCTGTTCTGGATGCTAAAGGTATTATCATAGTGTTCTAATTCCAATAATAAATAATGGTTCACAAACAGGAACTAAATTATTCCTACTAACAGTAATACTAGTGTGGCCTTCTTCACATACATGCTGGAACTAAATTACTTACCATAACTAATTAATGGTTTGGCCTTCTTCACTCAGATAATGTTATTGAAACTAGGATAGTTCTCATGAGTTATAACCCAGCCTTCTTTATAAATGTAACTAAATTACTTACTTCCCATAACCCAGCCTTTTTTACAAATGGAACTAAATTACTAAATAACTTACTTCTTATAACCCAGCCTTCTTTACAAATGGAAATCCAGCTGCGACTCGGTGCAGCCCACGGTCAGTGTTCGAAACCGGGCGGCTCCCGGGGTTCACCCAGCCTCTAAGAAATGGGTACCAGAGTTGATGCTCTGGGATAAATGGAGGAGCGTCACTGTAGCTACAGAGTTACGTGCAAACAGCGACACAGACGGACAATTCTTTTTAGCTGTCCGTGCTGGTGGCAGAGCACTTATAACAGTGTGCAATGACGCTGGTTCACATCTCCCGACTTTACCTTTACCTTTCAAATGAAAATAAATTACTTAATTACTTACTCCCCACAACCGAGCATTCTTTACAAATGCAAATAAATTACTTCAGTACTAGTACTTACTTCTCACAACCGAGCCTTCTTTACAAACAGAACAAAATTACTAACTTACTTACCTGCCACAAATAGAAGTAAATTACTAAGCCTTATTTACAAATGTAACTAAATTACTAAATTAGGCTCTCCTCCGAACTTCGTCCCCATATTATGGCCGCCAAACAAAAACCCTAACATGGCCTCAGTCGTGTGTAAAATGTGAAGTGCCTGCCGAGGAACAAATCACGGCAAAACTAGGATTGCCTCCGAATAATTGGCCAATATTATCGAGGGCAAACAAATGCTTTAACAGTGTCTCAGCAATATGTTAATTGTGGACCTGTTTCTGCGAATATGCCGCACCGCAGACAGTATCCCTCGCGCCACTGGGATAGGGGGGGGGGGCTAAACTAGATGACTGGGACTCACGAGCAAATAAATTGGAGGAAGTTGCAGGAGATGTGGTAGCTGCTGCTCGTGAGTCGCAGCCATCTGGGGGATAAGCTCGGCATGAGTTAATCAGAAGAACAATATCGCTAACCTGCGTCGAAGCGGAAGCGGATGATCTCCACGTCATGTCGCTATTTTTATGTGTATTGTTGTTTCCTGAAATTGTCAACGGAGAGTAATCCTAGTTAGGGTATTTGACAGCCATAATATGGGGACCAAGTTCGGAGGAGAGCCCTAGATTAAATTACTTACTTTCCATCATGATCCTAGCCTATACAGACTGGAACTAAAAAAAAAAAATCATTTCCCAGCCTTCTTTATAGACTGGAACCAAATTACTACTTCTTACAATTAGTTTAAGTTAGTTTAACTCGAGTTTAACTCAGTATAGTAATAGTCCGTCTCAGTTACTTAGTAACTTACTACAGTTCGGCATTCTTCACAGACTGGAACTAACTACTAAATACTTCCTAAAACTTAATAATAGTTCGGTGAGTTCGGGCCTCTTTAGTTATTTACAGGTTGGAACTAAATTAAAAATTACTTCCCATAACTAATTCCTCAACATCATCTCATCTAGTACATGAGAACTTGAAACCTGCTTCTTACTTCCCACGGCCGCCAACTGTAGTAAAACAGTTGAACTTTTTTTCTCACTCCCACTGTATATAATAAAGTATATTCTTGTGTTAACCCAAAGTGACTCACCGACAAGTCTTGACTATTTACCGGCAAGATACCCGTATGTGAATACACAAAAGTATGTAATTTTGGTGCAACGTTGCAATAATACGTCCCTGGAAGTCAGAAGTCCATCAACAAGTTGTAGAAGTTGGGAGGTAAGACGATCTCAGATGAGGTAACAGAAACAGGAAGTGCAAGAAACAAGTCCAGGGTTGCCAGATAAAAACAAAACTTTATTTTATGCCAAACCGTTACTAAAAATATGCCAGAAAATGCCAAATAGCGTGTAACATTGTACTCACTTCACATCAAAAGCTCTAGATTAAAGTCTTCACTGTCATCCTTATTGGAACCAGTGGAAGATACAGCGCAAACCTTTTTGAATGTAAAATCTTTAAGCATTTCCTCAGATGGGATTACGTTTTTGCAGTTCATCTATAATGATGGCATTTTTCTTGATGCAAAAGTCATCAAAAAGGTCATCCCTAAGTGCAGGCGATATAATGTTTTTTTTTTTTTTTAATTACGCATGAACATTTAGTTCTATGCAACAGTATGTGCTCCAATGTACTCCCCCGACCATGCGCTCTCATGATTTCACTTAGATGATCATTTGTGCGTATTGCACAATGACAGGTCATGCCTACAGCAAGTTGCAACTCTGCTGCCTTTAACGTTATCATTACTTTGCCTGGAAGTCATTGTTGTAAAAAACTGTGACTGGCTTTTTGACGGAGTTTCCATCCTTTGTTATTCGGATTTTTCATGATTTGATATGCTACTAATTCTTGGTGCAGTAGTGCACTGACAGTTTATAATATGCTGCCTCTGATTCGTCTGAAGATCTTTTGAGCGTGGGTATGTTTTCTTCCAGATACTATTATACTTGCAATGTCATAAGATGCTTTCCATTTTTTGGATGACGTGGCAATTGGTAAAAGAAATAAAATCTATCACAGATAGAACTAGGTCTATATCCTCTCTATTTTCTGCCCTCAGGTAGTTTCTGAACAGTCTGAATTACTTGGTATCTGTGGTGGGTTTTGGTTTTATATCCCACATTTATTCTAGTATATTAAAATAAATTACAGAGGGCCTTGGTTTATCGAAGTCACGATCCATTTAGGAAAGACAACAAATACAATAAGAAATGGCGCGAATCTCTATAAGTCCGTACCAGGACATCACAACAAAGTCAGACTGAAAAAAAAAGATGTTAACTATTGGTCTATATTGCCAGGAAAAACCCAAAAAGGCCAAAATATGTCAATTCATTATCTTATGCCAGTTCAA